TTATTGGAGTTTTACATGTTACTTTTTGTAATAAATTACATTGTTGCTTGTTTTTGTCCGACTGTAAAAAAGAGGGCGATGTTTTTAAGACATTTATTTGGTTATGGCCTATCCATAAATTAAAGGCCGATATATTGATTGATCGCTTGTTTCCTAATTAGTATTTTTAAATATTAAATGAATAAGAATGTACTTTATCAAGGCCCACAAGGGAGCAATAAATGCACCTATATTCCTTGAATGGCAGAAGAAAGATGTAAACTTTCGTAGAATTATGAAAATTTGCATCTTTTAATTTAACTCCATTAGACATGTAGCTAGAGATAAGTTATTATAAAGTAGAGTGATACTTTTGAAATGCTACGGAAGAACTGTGATAAATTGATATCAATCATAAATAAAATTATACCCTCTCAGTTTTTATTTCCTTGTAATATTTATAAGATCCCAATTTATGATATCCTCTTATCCATCACATCTGGAGATGTAACTCAGACTTCTCGATGCAGTCAGATATTAATGTGCGTAAATCTAAAGACGCATTATGGTAAATCAGAAGTAAAATCAAATATAATCATATTAACCCTTAAGTAACATCCTTATTTTTGGTTACACTTAGAACACCCTGGGGTAAAAAAATCCCCAAACGGAAATTGAAAAATTTTAAGTAAATATTTAAAATCAATTTAATTTGTGATTTACAGTGTATTAATGGACTCACTAAACTATACTATTGTTTTAAAAGAACGTCTATCTAGCGTAAAGAAACATCTTAAATCAATCATAACAAAAAACAAAGATTTTTTCATTGGCAACTAATAGTCTCCACAATGGTCTTCTAGAAAAATCTTGGAAAGTTATTGTGGGAACCAAAAACTTACACTAATCGGACATTGAATAGATGTTTTATACATATTTTAAACACAAAATGAAATAAAACGAAAATTTCTGGCTTTATAATAAATCAAAATAAAAAACTTTTTTTTTATAAAATTATGAAAATATATTTTTTTATCTATTTTATTCCTAATTATTTTTTTCAAAACACATTAGACACGCTGAATTATTACATAATTATCACTTTTGGGCTCTATTTCTGTGGCGAATTTATGAACGCTGTGTTCTGAGGGGATATCTTCAAAGTTCGAAAAGTATCATGTAAATCAAGCTTTATTTATTTCTCTGCATTCTCGAGACAACGTGCTACTTAATCGTCATATAAATTTTTACTCATTTTGTTTCAATATTGTAAAAACCTATTAATAAGATGTTAGGTGATGATAAATTAAAGCATGCGTAACTAACACCCTGGGGTAATTTTCCACCCCACCTACCTATACAAGCCAAACAGATGATTTTCTTCACATCCCGCGTCTACGAGCTTAAAGCGCACACTCTGCATTGAGAATACACAAAACGACATTGCACTAGCTTCGGTAGAAAAAAAGATATGTCAATTTTTATGCGCCTGGGGTAAATAATTACCCCACGGTGTTACTTAAGGGNTAATCATATTAATCATGCCTACCTACTTAGATAAAACTTGTGATGGCCTGACGCCTGCTTTGACCACTGAGCTAAAAAGTTATAAAAAATATCCAAAAAATAACATTTTCAAATTAATTCCAAGCTGTAAATAAGCGTCGAGTTAAGCCATTTGATTTTAAAATTTTAACATAGATAAATGCGAAATCCTTTTATCATGTAAGTAGACGAATGTTCAGCGAAGTCCATAGACTTCGTTGTTAATAAAACTCGATTTAAAATCGATATGCCGACTTGATTAAGTACCTACACCTAAGAAGTGGCGGCGCAGCGATGCCCGAAACTTGTTGGGCTACTTCACCGAGCCACGCAACCAATAAGTATGCAGTCTTTTATGGCTAAACTTGACCTTCACCCAGAAACACGATGCCTCCTAGTAAGTAAAAGCTGCTGAAACTAAAAAGCACATCACTATTTCTTTGGAATTCTTTATGCCGCAAGTGCATGGCGAATTGTCGAACTACGCGGATTTGATGATGCCGTTATCAGACTAAATAAAAATAATTATAGTGAGCCGCACACGTATACACGTTCCCAAGCGTCTAATAAGAAAACAATTGAATTGCGCATTATTGTACCGATGCGCTCTGTGAAGCATTTATTTGATTTCATCTACCTATTTAGGGGGCTGAGTGCGAGTTTACATCAAACGTCTTTGCTAGCGACTGCGTAACAAAATGACATGGAATGTACAAGCGTCCCTAGCGGATACTTTCAAGAACTAAAATTTTCATAGATTTTTTAAGTACTCGCTAGCGACGACGTTCAATGCAAACTCGCACTAAGCACTCAGGATGGGAAGAGAATGGTAAAGTCTAAAAAAGAAAATAAATTGCTTTTTAAAAACCTGCCAGCATCATTTTTAAAAATGTCACTCACCTCAACTTCTTCTAAAGTCTGAGTCCACCTGTAGTGTTCAAGGTCACACCCATTGCCGGAGTTGGGTTTCAGTTTGCCTTTCTCCTTGGGATCATCATCGTCATCTTCTGGTACCTCTGCTGCGGCCTCTTCGGCTTTTTCAGCACCATCACCGCTGCCATCTTCGGTTTCTGAAAAGATCAGGGTTTGTGACTTAATATTTTGTCTCAGAGAACTGCTATGAATATTATACAAGTGGGTTAACTTCTGGTTCTTTGTTCATTATAAAATTATCAGTAGCAATCATCAGTAGCATTGTTTTACAAATTCATTATTATTTGCTGGGTTGACAAAACCTTCTGAATGAGCATCACTTAAGATGAGAAGAAAATGCAAAATAGAAAAGCCAAAATTCTGTCATGAAAACCACCAAAGTCAGCTTTGAACAGAATGATAAGGATATTGTCATTGCTGATGTCTGTATTCCTCTCACCCAGTAATCAATGAGAGCAAATCCTAGCTAGTAATTATAATGTTGTTAATATAGAATACCGGTTTTTTACTTCTGATTGGTTTGTAACAGATAAAGAAATCATACTTTTAATTTTGTCCTTCTCAATCTCCTCTTGTATTTTGTCAGCCTCTTGATCGGAGACTTCCATGACGCTTGCAGGCTCAAAGTCCTGAGCCAGCCTCTCTTGCTCCTTCCGCTGCTGAATGTCCTTCAGACGTTTGTCAGCCTCTTCCTTCTCTCTCTTCAGTTTTTGTGCTTCCTCTTGTGCCTTTTTAGCAAACTCGTAGAAAGTTTCCTTGACGATCTGGAAATTACATAATTTGTGATTTGTAGTAAGATGTTGAAAAATCTAGTTGAAGAATTGGGCTTGATCTCTATTGTAGCAACATCAATCTTGTGGGTAAGTATTGTCATGGAAATCTCTGGAATATTCTAGGTTTCTTGTAGTGTTAAAACAGTAGAATCAGTGATAGCCTTAGCTTCAGTTATAAAATAAGATCTTTGATTGGAAGTTTATGATAAGTTTTTTGTAATTATATTAGAATAAGAATAAGAATATCTTTATTGAGCACAATTATCATTTAAGGTGTATACAAAGCAAGAGTAAGTATAAAAAATATAAATAAAAACATATGCTGAATAGGCACCTGCTCAGCAAAAATCGCGACATGACACAAACGTCATGCCTGAAGTTGAGAAGCTGGTTTTCAGCGGGAACTAATGCGTGATGAGGGTTGCGCGCCCTTCTGGTCGAGACCTGTGGTCGAGACGGTTTGATCAGACAGTGTCAGACAGGTTATAGGCGAGCTACAGTCTGATGACACAGTGAGCCAGGTCAGTCTACTGGCCATAAGGGCGCGCAACAGGGGGCGTGGTAGTCGATAAATTGAGCATAGAAATTATGAAGTAAATTCAAAAGAAACAATAATAAAGGAACAACCATTTTGGGCCCAAGTTGTACAGAGTTGTACAAGATACAAGATATTAATAAAATTTAATACAAAGAATACTTACTCTCTCCCAATCACCCTCTTTGCCGCCAGTGAAGAAATCAGTTTTTCTTGCAAGAAAGCTGACAATGGTCTTCAAAAGCTGAAAATGAAAAAATAAACATTTGATGTGGAGAATTTATTACTAAAATTGTTATACATTATCATGTTCACCACATGTAATGTAGGTATAGAGGTTATAATATTGTAGATTATTATTACTAATTTGTAATTTCAACATAATATTAAGAGAATCGGAACCAATTGTTTTATCTAAACAAAGAGTACAAAGAAATTACATACAAAGCACACAAAGAACACAAAGTAAGTAAGTAGTTATTGAAATCACAGTTATAAAATTAATGGAAATGTAATTATTATTCTTGAATTACTTACTACCTATATCTAGGAGGATGACGCCTATTATTATATTTATAACATTCGCTAGACGATAGTTAGTAAACCAAGTTAATCGATATTTCCAAATCATTTACCTACAATCCAAAATATCTGAATACTTACATCTTTTACACCACCCTCGTGCTGCTGAGCCATGGCTAGCAGCATAGAATCAAATCTCTCGGGATCGTTGGCCATTTTAATGTAATAAGCGCTAGTAATTACAGTGGAACGACTAAGAAATTAATAAAATAGATATCGCAGAGTTTCTAGAGAGATCTCCCGGTTGCTTAGGTTTCCAAACATTGAAAAACAAAAATCACTTCCCAGCAAATTGTTGACAGCTGTCAGATGTGAAATGTCAAATGACAACCACAAGCAATCTAGACCCTCTAGAGTCAGGTTTAAAGTGTAACCAATTGAATTTTCAATTGAATTGTTGAGAAAAAAAACGTTTGGCCATTAATTTCAACAAATGAAACAATCCCAACAATGGTTATTGCTGTGGTTATTGCATCACACGCTGAGCAAGCATGAGCACTTCGTTTTTTACCACTCAAAGTCAAGATTTCACAACGTGATTAGTCTATGGTTATGATTTATTGCACTTTATCTAGTTTTATAATATCTTTGGAGGACACATACACACACACTGACAATTTGACAGCCAATGCGTAATCATTTACACACACACTGTCAAACAACTACTGAAGTGAAAGAAAGCAAGTGTCAATGGAGGTCATGCATTGCATTTTAGTGCATTTTATTAATTGATAAATCGTTAAAACCGTAATAATTGACAAAAAGTCTAATGATTTATGAAACTGTAATGTGCATAATTGTACAGGTGGGTGAAATTTATTTCCATTGTCTGATATTTCTTATTTTTAATTGAGCTGTCGTTTGTCATGGGTACAGTGAGTGAAAGAAGACTTTATTTTTGCAGGGTTTTCAGCAGAATACGTAGTAATGGCAGATCAGTTTTGTTTACGTTGGAACAACTTCCAAACAAACATTGTGAGTGCTTTGGACTCGTTGAAATGTTCGGAGGATTTGGTGGACGTTACACTCACTTGCGAAGGCAGAAACATCAAGGCCCACAAAGTCATACTGTCCGCGTGCAGTCCGTACTTCAGGAATGTGTTCAAGGTGAATGACTGGGGACATTAAATAACCTTCATGTTCATAGTAACGTTTATTCACGACAATTTATTCCAGTATTCTACTTTCTGTTTATAAATGATAAAGTTGGTCATATTAGTCCTAAATTGTTTATTTTGGTGACATTATGAATCTCATTGCACTATCATCCATTAAACTTATTAGTCTACAGTTATTTTTACTAATAACTTCTCTGTTAGTCTCGACAATTTGTGTTTGAAATTTAACCTGTGTAGTTGTTTATGTTTGTGTCCTTGAAAGAGTAGGTCAATCCACAACAGTTAGATTTAGAGAGTTTTATTGAGTTAAAGAGATGGTTTAATAGTTATCTTTGATGTAATTCTTTATTTCACTACATTATGAGTAAATATTAATATTTTATGAGTTCATAAACAGTACTAGCAATTTTTATTTGATACTAGGTACTCACTTATTCATGATTCATTTTAAATTTAAAACTTAGATGCTAACTTTTCATGATTAAATTTCCAGGAGAATCCGTGCCAGCACCCGGTCATAATTCTAAAAGATGTCTCAGCGGACGACATTGTTAGTCTGCTCTCATACATGTACCAAGGAGAGGTGTTCATAGAGGAGAGCAAACTGTCTTCTTTCCTACACACAGCAGCTCTGCTCCAAGTAAAAGGCTTGACTGGAGTTACTCAGCAGGTATAATACTGTGCTTATTACTAAAATAAATGTCTTTTTGGATAGTGTACCCACTTAAATATAATAAATATCCTCAACTGGTTTTGTATTTGGTCTTTAGTACATACAAAATTTATTTTCATTTGAGGAGGCTTTTTATGATAGGACTGTTTATCTTTTTGATAAATAATCATTTACTCATTATTTGTCTAAGTTATACTTCATACCAGTTATAATATAATATAAGCCTTTATTACTGGATTACAAGGTATTTTACAACTTCATACCAGTTACTCTTATTTAAATATAACTTATTGGTTACAGAAAGAAAACTTCACTTGTCCCAATCCAACAAACAAGTTGTACACTCAGCTAACAATATCTTCCAAGTCTAACCTTGCCGGAGCCAAGGAAGCCAAACTTCCAGCTTTGAAGAAAAGACGCAGCAGCACTTCGGACAAACCCAATGATGTGACTATTGGAGACGGACACAAAAAAAGCAAAATCCTAGAAACTTGTGATATTTATAATAGGACTAATATCTCCCAACTGACAAAGTCAGATACGTCTGTATTCGTACCTGAAAATAACATTGAAAAGAAAAATGACAGTAAAAATGATCATTCATCTGCAACAACTAATGGAAAGTCTTCAACATTGACTCAGGTGAATTAAAAATGAAATAAATAGACCCAATTATGCTTATAAACACTCTTATACACTCAATTAAATGATGTTCAAAGACTATTTTAATTTTGTTGATTGAATATTTCTAATAAAAGGCTAAAAACAACTAAAAAATAAGAAGTAATCTGTTTTTCTCTAAACTTCTATTGCATTAAAGTAAAATATATTTTGTATTTAATAACTTTATTTCTACAGATTAATTCTCAAGGAGAGAACATTCCGCTGGTAATAAAAACGGAACGCATGGATGATGACAGCTCAAGGACACCTCCACAAAATGCGAACTTTGAAAATGATGAAAGTCTTCCAGATTACGAAAACAGCATGCTTGCCAGGTCTTTGCTTCAAGGTGAGATAATAATAATGATTTATTGGTTTTGAAATCTGAGTACTTTATTATTTTTTAAATAAAAAAATTGTAAATACCTAAATAAAAATAATCTTATTTATCATTCCAGGTATAAATCCGTCTAAAACTGATATCACAACTAACAGTACATCAAAGAAAGTTGTAAATGTGGATATTCATACACCCAGACCAAAAGACATTAACACAGATTCAATAAGCTTCACAAATGCTGCCTCTAAAAGTCCGTTAAAATCCGTCACATCTGAAGAATTATTAGTGAAACCAGAAAAACAGTCGCCTAAATCGGACATAGATTATGAACCTGAAGTATTGTTGTCAGAACATCAAGATGGGACCGAAGAAAATGCATATTCTCAAGAGCAATCTCAAGCTTTATTATTACTGGCGGGCATGTCCAACGTCCCAACGTTGGGAGGTGGTGCTTCGACGTCACAAGGTGTGTCACATCAGCAATCAAATCACGCGGCTATTTGTGGAGATTGTCCTCATTGTGGAATGAAATACTCCAACCAATCCGCACTAAAATACCATGTCAGATTAATGCACTCAGACTTGACAAACAGACTGTGTTGCTATCTCTGTCCAAGGTCGTTCACTATGCGCGAGACCTTCAAGGAGCACATGTGGACGAGTCATGGTCAAAGGAACTAATATTATTTGTTCATATTAAGATGTGCCTTAAGATTTATATTTTCAAAGGTGGCTGTTGCGGTGGTAAAAAATGTGCCTTGTAGGAAAATGCCTATAAAACATTGTTTATTGAGTAGGCAGGTATTAAATATCTTGAATGTTTGAGTAGAGATACATGAACATTATTAGCAGATTGTGTTATGTTATTGTATTTTTGAATCAATATGATGAAATCAAGTTTTATTTTTCTTTCTTATTTTATAATTTATTTTTAAAGTTTCATCTGCTATTGGATATGTTAATTTTTTTAAATGTTAAAGAGGATTTTTATACATGATCTTGGCATTGAATGCAGTGGATTTTTAATGTTAATGTGGTGCAAGCAAGTTGTTTGAATTTGAAACAACATGAATATTTGTAGGAATAGGAATAACTACTAAGTTATCAGACGGTGCTAAAGAAGGAATAATTGTGACTGTTAAATTGATATTAGTATATCTTTGGTAGATGTTTGTAAACGAAATGCATTAAGAATATTATTATGCATCTTAGTTTCAATTTTGGAAAGTAATGTATTACGGCATAGAAATAACGATATTTTTGTATCGCCTGTTTAACAGGAACGAATGTAATGTAGGTAAAGAAATTTTATAGGTATAGCGCTCGAGCAGCACAGGAGGGGAGACATTTAAAAATTAAGAGTAAGCGCACACCGTTGATTTTTAGTTGGCCGATAGTTGTGCCCGATTTTAATTTGTATGAAGAATTGGCCAAATCGAATCGGCGTAGTGTGCGCACTCTCATACATGTCCATACTGATCAACTGCCCGACTAAACTATCGGCCGACGAAAAATCAACGGTGTGCGCCTACTCTAAGACTATGTTTCGCTGACGCTGAACTTCAAATATTACAAAAACAGCGCTGGACCTATATTATTGTGAGACGTTATTCTGGAAGACAACCAGGAATATGGAAGATGATGACTTCGCCAAAATGATCTGTAAATGTTTGCCAATTTCTAACGTCGTCGGAAAATCTTATGCACTAAGTTGCATTTTAAAATTGTATCAGTATTTTCTTAAATGAAAAGTCATAGACGTTTCTGTTTCTACTTGAATGTATGGGAGCACTGTTCCCACGGCAGTGTTTCAAAATTTATGATATTATTATGTTTGGTAATTGTGCCAAAACAATTGTTATAATTAAAAAGTTACTTTATAAGTTACCGAAATTTTATATTGTTTTCATTTTCTATTTTCTAGTGTTAGCGTAGTGTTTAAGTTGAATATTTTTTTGTTATATCTCAATATTATGATAGTTTTGCGTAAGGTCTTTTGGTAGCAAAATTTTTGATCTACTCCGACGCGTCGAATGCCATTAGTGAAAGTGTAATTAACATAAAAATATTTATTAAGCTAGTGAAAAATATTTTTTAAATTCGATTATAGCAGATATTTATAGTTATCGTAATGTTATAGAATATATTTACGTTAAATCTAATTAAATATTGTTGAACATTTTATTCAGAATTTTACAAGATTTACATTTTAAATTATGTTATGAAATAAAACGTATGCTTCGTATTTCGAGTTTTATTACTGTGTTGATATTTTCCTAAGAATAAAACACGTTAACTTTATTGGTTTATTCGTGATTTCACTAGTTTTTTTTTCTTTCTTTCATTTTTTTACAACTTTTATAAGGTTGGTCTTACTACAGTCAATTATACATTATGTAGGCAACTAACGTTCAGGTAAACCATACCTAAATCAGTGTATCGCTAACTTGTACTGCAAGCAGTTTTTTTGTTAATTATTTGAAGAAAATATTTAATTACGACAATAGTTTAATTTGCGTATCTCGGCATTGTTTTCGATGTATCCCAGCAACATTATACTCCTACATTGACTTGTAAAAAAATTCAAGAAACAAACAAAAGACCATCGACTCTACCTTTTCGTTACTATAATTTATCAGCTCTACTTAGAACTTTATTTAACATTTTTTAGAATATTATAAGCAATTAAGTCTTCGTAATTAATTAAGAACAAGGCATTGTTTTTCGGCATTGTCGCTATGTGCTGATATTTAGGGGAGTGCCCCTCGTAGCATGAGACATTTTGCAATTGAGAGGTGTTTCAAAAGGGTTGCGAAACGACGAACAGTACCAAAGTTACTAGCAACAGCCTGCAGCGGTAATGGTTACGGAAAATTATATGAGCGAAGAGTCGTGGGTTCGATTCCTGCCATTGGTAGGTATTCGATTTTTTTAAGTTATCAAAAATTTAGTTTGAGATGCAACTCTTAACGATAGGTACACATTTTAATAACTACCTGATAGCGAAAGTTAATAAATTAGATACCTATCTTTCTGTTAAACTACCGACCGGTATTTGAATTTTGCCTCAAATGTTACAAAATTTTCAAATTATTAAGATTTAGTACCTACATAAGCCCTCAATGTAACTGTTTGTTGTCCCAAATAAAGAGAAAAAAAATGTTAGGTGGCCGTGGCACACTAGTTACAGATTTTTGTACGTACTACCATGGTACTACGTAGTTACATTTCCACACACTATTCATATGCCACACGCTAAATCCAGATAAGAACTCTCGTGTCGTAGAGATTATCGGGAGAAAATCTTGCTCTCGAAGTGGCCTTGTAGAGTCGCGTTGTAAATAACGCACTGAAATGTTGGAAAATTTTGTGACTATACTCGAATAAGTATGGCAACAAAATACCTACAGACTAAAATTTTAGTTTTAGTTTTGTTTCATTTTTTATGTTGTTTTGTGTCGCTGAATAAAATATTTCATTTTCATTTCATTTTCAAAATTGCGCTGCACAGAATTACGTACTTAGCTATAATATTCACATCATTTGCAGTAAGCTAATGAGTTTATGAGTTATTTTTTAATTTTATTTTACAATGCTTTTACGCGTAGCAACCAGGAGAGGAAAGCTTTATGTAAAGTTTCCCAAAAGCCATAGAAAGTCCAATATTGTTATATTGAAAGGGAATCAAACCTAATAAGGATTGGTCTGGTGTTTTACAATGTATTTTTTGTTTCGAAAAACCTTGAATATGGTTCTGTTGTTCAAAAAAGAAAAAGCTTTTCCGATGTTGCTCGGGGCTAGCTTCGGAGACGAGATTTTTTTTAAAAGTAGGTACGTACCAAATTTTTACCCTGTCGATCAGTTTTCGTCTTATTAAATGTAGGTACCTACCTAGGTTTCTATGCGAAAGTAAATGGTGTTTCATAGGCCTACTCCGCCTAATCTTGTATAGTACTTATAGTACCTAATTACGAAATCAGAGAATGTAGGCTACCTAAAGTTAAATACACGAAAACACAAACTTATTCATGGAACTTGGGATACCTAGGTACTTCATTTATCTAATTTCTGCCAATGTAATGAAAATTTACGGCAAATAACTCTCAACAAAAATTTTCAATCAATAAAAGTTTTCACCCTATTCATATTTACTTACTTAGGTAATAAAATAAAAAAATATTAAAAAAACAGTTATAAAATTCATTTATTTTTACGAGTAGGCTTTTAAAAAGCACTTTTACTACGCAAAGCCACTAAATTATAATAGTTAGACTTAAGTACCAAGATTTAGTTTCTGTATTGTGAATAAAGTCCTAAATGTGTAAAACGCAAAACTATAAATTTTCCTAGATAGGCTAATAGTCCTGAAACGTTTCGCGCTACACACAAGGGACTTAACATACCCAATTCAAAATGTAACGCTCGCAGACGTTTGCATTCGACGTGTGTACGAGTAGTCGTTGCATTGTGCGATGTGCGCAGCGTAGGTAGGTGCGGGTAGGTGTAAGGGCGTTTGAGGAAGCCCCTTAATGCGGAGACAGCTCCACTGGGAGGCTATTGATCGTCATCCGCCGTCAGTGGCCGAGGCGCCCCTATTGATTCGCCGCAATCTGCATGATAACCCGCGCCAGGCTTCTCTACTACATACATTAGAACACACTTATCGGGACACGTTCACCACAGATGGTACTGCGTGGTACTAATCGCGTTCTCACCCGTTCGCAATAAAGTATAGTGGGTCATTCTGTTCTGAGTTTCGACTGAAACCTTTATTGATTAGTCTGACACTCCGGGTTTCGGGAAACACTCCGTTTCGCGCCACAAGGACAGATAGATATAGTGATATCGATCGACACGTTCATTTCATAGGCTTTATGATTATAGGAGCCCTTATATGGACCACAATTTGGTATAATCAACTTTCGATCACTGAGTGCCCAGCGCAAAAAGCGTTGTCGATACGTAGGTATAGGCTTTAATTCAGCGGCCTATACTCGTACACATGTAGGATGACCTCATTACGTTAATGGAACACTGAAGTTACTTAAAATGCCCATGCATGTGCCTATGTGGAAGTACTAGTTAAGGTAGAGCGTTTGAACTCTATGTTTTCTGTATCTGACCTTTCTAAAGTTATTTTACACTTAAAGATTAGGTACGTTAATTAAAGTTATTTAACATGACTAAGGAGTACCTAGAGTTCATAACATTTTCAAAGTGTTTTATTATAAATCAGGCTTACAGGTGAAAAGCGCTCTTACAATAGTTAAAAATAGCAAAAGTATATTTTTCAATGTAATTCCTTCTAATATACCGTGTACCTATACCAACTTATTAATTAAGCCTAATCCAATGTACACTTCATCTCCAAGATTAGTATTTGCTGTAATGGATCGCTAATAGTCAATTATCATGTGAACGTCTAATTGAAATTCAAATCGCATTGTTCATAATGTCGCCTAATTACGCGCAAATGATCACCTTATTAGGCTCTATCTCGAGGGATTAGTAACCTCCTACTAACATTCAACAAACTTAAAATAATATATCATTATCTTTGAGTTCGCAATCTCACATTTTCAAACAAAATGTGCCTACAGTCTAAACTTTACCATGTTCACTTTTTGTGTAATATTGTTTTTTTTTTGTTGACGTAGGTACTAGAAACAAAAACAAAAATGACATACTTTAATGGTGTTATTATAAACATATACAGAAGTTAAACACGTTTAAAATGTCATTCCCATACTAATGTCAAAGTGTTCAACGCCGTTTAACTTTCTATAATAAACCCCTAAAAGTTGTGACTCTACTAAATGTAAACACTTCTACAACGAACACAAAGTTACCTAGTGACAGCTAGTTTCGCGCAAATCGTTCAAACCACTCGTTTGTGCGCAAGCGCACTGAAAACTTCTTCAAACAGCGATTTGGTTTCATAACTCCGTGAACAAACTCTAAGTACACTCGCAAAATCATATTTTATTAAGTGTCTACTCGTAGTTCTAGCACAAAGTGCGCACAAGACTATATTAATATTTATAAGCGATGTTTAGTTAGGATAAGTTCTATTGTCAATACGGTAGCACACTGAAAAGATATTACCAATTCTGACTTCAATACTGCATAGTTAATTTATGTAATCGATGTTTGAACAATTGAAGGGTTCCCAGGATGACCTGTGTTTGATATGCGATAGAACATCTCCATTGAAATGTGAAGCTGCCGAGGTTATCACTACGCGTTGGTATGCCCTCGCTAAACATAGGCCAATATGTAGGCATAGGGATAAATGTTTCAGGAATACTCTAGAATTCTTTTGTTTTTCCAAAGATTTTTGATAAACTCAAACTAGCTGCGCTTTGAACAACGAGCTGTCAATTCTGAATAAAACTTATTAAATAAAAGGTTTAAATAGTTTTTATTATTTTTTTCCATACATTTATATAAAAATCTAGAAAATGGATATTAATTATTTGTTATTGATTTCGCTTTAGTTATTATTCTTACAGCAGAGACTGATAGATAAGTAGATATTCAATTATCATCCTGGGACTGTTTGTAACCGTTGAAATGTTCAGTTAATTAAGATGTACTCGAGCTTTCCCATACTCTACATAAGATTTGTGTGGTGTTTAATAATTTTAACAAATACTTATTTAAAAACTTCGCGGGAATGTTAAATGGTGCGAAGGACGAAGGGCGCGGGCTGCGCCACATGACTACAGCGATATGGGTCACTGCCGCCTACGCGCAATTCGATAAAACTTCGCGACTATCCGTAAAGATGTTATTAGACTACCTCTAACCAAGTCATCGATGCGACCGCAACGCGAAAAAAGTTATGTTCGTTAATTCAAAAGTTGCATCACCGACAAATTTTATTTTTCAGCACCCGATCGCTTCATGAATTCCATCTAAACAAACATCGTGTCTCTCCATTCAAACTGTATTTGCCATAGAGTGAAAGTGTGTCTTAATTAATAGTGCAAAGTATCGATCAATCGTTTCACCATGGTTCTAAATATAAAATTCCGTCGGGGAAGACAAAGTTCGCGCGCAATACGGGCGCAGGCAGGTAGCGGCGCGGCGGGCGGCGTGCGGCGGCGGGCGGCGGGCGGCGGCGGGCGGTGGCGGCGGCGGCGTATCGATTCCAAGGCGCCTTCAGTCGGCGTCCGTCGAGCGCCGCGCTGCGCCGAGCCGCCGGCGAGCGGGCGTCGCCCCTCCCTCGCGGCCCGCGCCCCGCTGCCGCCACTCCATACGATCCGCCGTCGCCGGCAAACTCGACCGACCTCTTTTCGCTAGCTAACGTCGCCCTCGCGCTCGTTTCCCGCCGCGATCTCGTCGAACTCTTCCGGTTTTTGACTTTGAAACTTTCGGAATGTTTAGGTCGTGTAGGTGAAGGAAGCCGAGTGATGTGGCGGTGCGCGGCGCGCCGAGGATGGCCAGGCCGGGCGGGCGGTCTTCCGGGCGCGTGAGCGATGGACTGCTGCAACTACGGGGAGTACCGCGGGCACGGCGTGGCCTACGCGGGCTGGGAGGGCTACGGGTACGCGCCGCCGCCGCACGCGCCCTTCGCGCACGCCTTCTACCCGCCGCACGCGCAGGACCCCTACGCGAGATACTACCGCTACGACTACCCCGCGCACCACCCGCACCACAATGAACATGTGTTGCCTATGGGTTGGTATTACTATTGCTTTTACTATTTTTTCAGGACTTTTCAGAAGATCATGGGATGCAATAAACTATTGATTTATTCATTTAAAGATGTAACTTTAATGTAGAGTTCCTGCCACAGCATTTGAGAAGAAAATGAAGGCTATTCATCTAAATATATAAAAGGAGAAACTGACTGACTGACTGACAGATCAACGCACAGCCTAAACGGCTAAACGTAGGCACTTGAAATTTGGAAGGGACGTAGCTTAGGTACCGTAGAGGTGCACTAAGAAAGGAATTCCTGAAATTCCCACGGGAACGGGAATTAGCGGGAAAAATGATTAATGATATTCACGCGTACGAAGTCGCGGGCGGCCGCTAGTGGAATATATTCACTTTCTTTTGATATTAGGATTAGCATATAGCATAAATAAGTTGTTTCAAAATAGGAAACTGCAAGAAACGCATGTTACATCCATGTACGTTGAAATTTCCAACGTTATCTTTATCGGAGAGTTTGTTTATGACTTTCAAAGTCGTTACAAACTTGCAACTGCACAGTTTTCAGGAAACAAGCTGTAAAACTAAATAAAGATAACCTCTGCCAGTACATAAAACAGTCAATTGATAATATTTTGACAACAAATAATGCTGAATTTTTAAAATATTTTGAACACTTTCCCAATTAAAATAATTCGTGTCCACAAAAGATAACAACCGGTGTATTTGGAAAAAAATTGAAAAAGGAAATGAGTTTTCATATTTCAGCTTGAAAAAGAAACTGAAAACTGTATTTTTGTAGCAACGAATCTACAAAACGCGACATATGAAAAACAGTCCGTCGCAAGCAGTCCTAATTCCTCAACATAATTAAATTACTAGCCCTGTACTAGTTTTCCGTCCACATACTTGCTAAAGTTGTTCGAATCGCGCGCGTCTGCGTCTGAAATTTGTTTACCAATACGCCAGAGATCGGAATGCGCGTGGCGCAAGCGACAATCTGAACAATGAAGAATGAAGTAAGAATTAATGTTTACGTTTGGCTGGATTTCTCGACTACGTCACGTGTCGATGCCGAGGGGAGGCGGGGGACGCAACAGGTGGTCGCGCCCCCGCAACTCGATTGATCGCGCTCTCGCCACTCTACATATTGACCGGGGTACTAACGCCCGCGTTGCGATTCACTGCAAACTTGCTTCTGTATGCTACGTGAATTATACTGAAGTTCGCAATCGCTAATGATATTAGCGGGTGGGTCTCAGTCGATAAAGAAACAGGTCAAGCTGCACACACGCGTTATTAATTAGTGCGTGTGTTCAAGCCGTGAAAATTATGAGTCTCCAAGTACTTACACGGTTTAAATTATTTTCAAGTACTTTTCAGGCTCTTACATGCTCAATATCGATAGGTGTAAACTTGTAAAAATTATTAATAGACAAAAATTTAAAACAAATAAAATTACAATGAAAAATGATGAAATTTCCACATTTTCCAAGCTATTTGCATCACAATTTTAAATAATACGTTTTCAGTCAACTGTAGGTTACAGACCCTTTCTTCTTAATTGAAGGTTACATGAACACGGAAAGTTATTCAAGCCGTAAAAAACTTTCCATTATTATATTCCTCTCTGTTAGTAACACAATTTTGTTACGTACGAAGTTTGCAAGGGAAACCTTACGAAAAGTTTTTTACAAAACTGCTGGTAGCCGAGGTAACAATCTTTTCCTTTTTAAGCGACGGGGACAATAATTTAACGACATTAGGGCTCAATCCTGCGCCTGGACAGGCGCCTCGTCAGGTCAGCGATTAATGAATATGTAGATGAATTTTTTCGCACAATTTCCCGCGACAGATAACAATTTGTATTTTAATTTTATCCCGAGGAAGGCGTTAAGGAGGTGCGAGACGGGATTTACAAAATATTTATCTTCCCGCTCTACCATTTCAATTTTATTTCGCCGAGATGTTTTCCAGTTAGATTTGCGATTAAAGGATTTTCGCACCCTTATGAAATTATGGAAATGATTATGGACATTTGAAATGTTGGATTGGACTTTCAGGGTTTCACGCGAAATTTTTTCTTAATGAAATTGTATTTACTGGTACGTTTATCAGTTTTACTAGCGGGATATGTCTTTTATATGCAGATTAACCCTTGAACTTTCAAAAAGCTTTTTATTTTTGCTTAACAAGAAAGTTAGAGGATAAAGAAAATTGTTGCAAATCCTGGAAATATACTAAAGAAAATCTGGAAACCCAGCCCCTGAAGCGAAGTAGAAAATATGTTATCACAGGGAAAACGCCGCAGGCTCTCGCTAGTATTTCATTTGTGAAAATAACCAGCAAGTAACTAAGCCTATAAAATAACAAGCTGTCATTCCCAGTTAGCAAAATAACATACAAAATCCGGTATGACGATTCTATTGTTGTATATTGTTTACATATGGCTGTGACAGCGCTATAATTAAACATGTTGACATATCCCCGCTTCGATGAGTGATTCAATTGTAAACAATTTCATTGGAACGTAATAATAACATCTCTACTGTATTATTGTTGACAAATATCCAACGTTTCACTTGAATTTACTTACGCTGAGTTACTTACTGCAACATGTAGGTTAATTTATTGATACTCATGCACATATTGTTCGTAGTTACTTTTTGCGTAGAGACGTAGTACCTACCTAATAAACTTGTTGGATTATGTATTGCTACTAAGTTAAAGCTACTTTTTTACTGAATATCAAGTTGAATGTGATTTTGAAAACCGTTCTGAGCGTCTATCTTTTGGTAATAATTTAATGTAAACTTCTGTTTTCAACTAACTGTATAACTAAAAGCAAAACGATTACAAAATATGATAGGATTACGTTGTCTAGAGACCCTTAGTTACTAGCATACTTGTTTCCCAATTATTGAAATAATTTCACAATTTTATTATGACGCATTGTTGCAACATTGTGAGAAATTAAGTATTTTACTATCGTGTGAAATGTTCTTTTATTTGTTGCATAAGCGATTATCATTGACGTCGTTTAGGAACATGATGGACCACATTACATTGAAAACATACTAGCTCTATTTTAATTATCACTTCATCTTGTAAGATGCTCATACAATTTTATTATACAAGTTACCATTACCAGATAGCGTTGGGAATACTTTCATTAAATACGAAGTGCAAATGCATTATTCATATTGTTTACTCATGAATATTTCATGGGCGTTTATTAATAAACCATAACGTACTTAACGCCTTAATACTTATAAGTTTATTTGTTTGGGTTTACATTGTAACTTTCTGTTATTGAGTTAGGGATTTTTCTGATTTAATCATTGTTGGGGTTTTATAAAAGAAGCAGTTATACCTCTTGCTAAAGATACGATAATCTCAGTTATTTTGGTATTTGGTAGTTGAAAGACCGTACTTTTGTTGGAATCGAATTCAGATTATAATATTAGCTTTACTGTTCTCTCTCAGTAACCTTGAGGTAATAGTACCTACGTTACGTACCTACTATGCTACGGACGAGCAACTTGATTAAGGTTGTTGGGGGCAATTTGATGCAGGCGTCACTAGCTTGTCGATGGGCGAGGTCTATAGTCTGTATACGACTAGTTGACCCATGACGAGTACCCAAAAACAGATATACGATCTTTAGTTTAAATTGAAAAGTTTGCTGACATACATATTTTAGCTAGAAAGAACACGAGCAAATTTATAAGCATGCTAATTTTTGTGGACTATTCGTTGTAGACTTTACTCTCCAGTTTATCAACGTTTAGATGGTTCAGATGATGACGATAAACTGATATTATTCTTAGAATTATATCGGGATTCTCATTCCTACCAATGAAACCCAACCAGTGCGATGTCACCCCTGAGATGTATGCAGTATCCTATAGGTAGCAAGGATCTACAGTTTGGCCTCCAAAGAAACCCAGTCAGTGCGGATAAGTGTCGTCCCTGAGATATCTGCATCTCCTATACTTAGATAGCAGGGATCTAGAGTTTGGCCTTCAATGAAATCCAACCTTCAATGAAGGTTGAGTACTAACGCCCGTATTCACAAACTAATGTTTATAAAAAGTAATCTATGAGGTCTCACAGTGCACGTGGACGCACAGGGTGACACACGAACCAATCACAGAGCTCTATTCAACGCTGTGCGTTCGATTTGCTGCTTCACATAAGAAAGCATCGTTTGGGAATACGGGCGTAAGTCTCATAGAAGAAGGTACTCATGTATGATCTGAAAGTTGTGAAGAAACTAGAAAGTATCTAGACCAGCTTCTTGACATGCCCTTACGAGCATGTATAAATGCTGAGCTGAGGCTATTGGCGCAGTTACCTACTAATTTTCTTTCTTTTTCTTTGTGTAGTTATTGTTTATAAATTGTGCTCACTGTGTTAAGTATAAAGTCCATTCTATTGTATTCTATGTCTGATACAGGTTGTTGTTTGCAGAATACGGCGCGTACGCGTCAAAGGAGACGCGCGTGCGCCGCGCGGTCGCCCGTCGCGAGCGGCCGCTCATTCCAGCACAACACCTGCCGCATCCGCCTACGGTAAGTTCCTAACTTTGAAACTTTATTTTAGTCAAATATTATAGCAATCACCGCTTTGCAGTTGCGTTATAAACAACTGTCCTCCCCCAGGGTTGCTTGCTCTTCCAAGCAAACTTTATTTTTAACAAGTAAAAATTAAACTAAATCACCGCTTCCCAGTTATGTTTCAAACAACTGTCTTCCCCCAGAGTTGCTTGAAAGAGAGCGCTTCCTAACGATAAGACTGTCTAAGAAAATTATAGCACTAATTTGTCAATTTTATGTCGTTTGCAATAAAGGGCCTCAATCTGTCTAAAAAATTGCCACCTTATAAAGTCCTCCTAAATATGAGTTGATATAATAGCAACTAAAGTTTGACTAGGTAACTAGAATAATATAGAAACTTACTACGGGTAGTATACACAATATCTAGTCAAGTCTACAAAGTTTTAGACCATCATTAGTTAACGCTTACATCATTAATCAACATTGTTGAGTACCTAAATTCTGTTAGTATCATACTGGCATCACACAACAAACTTCTCCAACTAAAAGTAAACATAAAACTCTACGTCTACGATAACAGTGCACGACGTAAAAATTCAGCCAAGCGCACGGCTTAATCGTCGAAACTTTATTGCATTACGAAAATATAATACGATAACTCCGAGTGAAAAGGCCAGTATAAATTATGTAGGTCAGTGTCACAGGACAGTCGGCGGCGAAACGAGCCTTCGTCGCATTCTAACATCAATCATGCGCACTCCGAATAGAGGTTAAATTGAGTCGGCAGCCACGCGAGGATGCGATGCGAAACATTCCTTACATTTGAGCGGTTGAAATGATTTTCATTCAGTTCAAGTTGAAAATGTGCGCGGAAAGTTTGCCGCTGAATATCAATGTTGAATCGATTGCGTTCGGCCGTGGCGCGTACATTGACATTCATTTTAGTGTTAGATAATGAAGTAATGGCGTGATGGTAGTACCTATTTAGGACTATTTCATTACTATTTTAAATTAGTTTTTTCTTGAAATATTTGAATAGGGAAAAATTTAATTGATGGTAATTATAATTATTACAGTTCAAAATTGTACATTCAGTTAAGATTATGTATTAATTTTACTGTTTAAATTCGGGTACCTTTATGGGACATTGATTAACTGTTCTTTTAACTTTTTCAAAAAATTATAATAAAAAAATTATCTCTACTAAAAAGGCCTTAAAAACTTAACAACGTAACGGCATAAACTATAAAAATATTAAATTAATAAACAATAACAAATTAGTTCCGGCGCTACTCACTGTCCGAACCAGACACTTAACTACAGAGAACGTTGACAAATAATCGAGTCGAAAGTGGTATCATTACGGCGTCATATTACAAGACAAGTGAGCGGCACAAAGGCGCTAATGAGGGCGGGGTAGGGCGGGCGGCGCGCGCGGGCGGCCCTGAGAGGTGGAGGTGCCCTATGAAAGCTGTCAGCGGTTGATTTTTCCGAGTGTCGTGGGCGCGCTGATCGATAAGTCACGTGGCCGCCTCGCTCGATAGTTCGTGTGCACGTAGGAACAACTAGCCGTGTATGCGGATTTGTGATCACGTAGATGTCGCAAACATTTTTAGGGTTGTACAGCCTGGATAAAGCAGTGCTAGAAGACAGGAATGCAAATGTTTAGCGACGTGTAACGGGCGAGACGATGTGTAAAGCCTTTACCGGTATAAGGCGCTGTCTGAACGTGGCTTTACGCATTGCTATGACTACCGGCAGCGCGTCTGTTGATAATATAAATTCAAAGGCGTATTCTTGTCAGTTACTGCCAACCTGTTTTGGGCGAGTGTTTATGATATACAAATCTTAAGCGAAATTTATTTTATTCAACAAAATTTTTGATGTTTTTAGGATCAATACGTTTCATAGGCTCAATAAACATATCACGCGTTTATTAATTGTTCGTGCCAGTACAGATTCAGCTGTTTCCGCACGCGACCGGTCCGGGTCCGGCGCAGAGACGAGGTTAACGACTTCGCAAAGTTCACTCACTCGAAACGTTTTGTGATCGCCACTGATATATGGATGAGAACTTTGATTGAGTGCCATTTTATTATAATTTCGAGTTTGCAAAGATCAGGTAAAGACAGCAAAATTTAGATCATGTGCACGCGAATTGATAAATCGCGGTTACCTTAATTTATTGCTTGTCAGTCTTCGGATAAGTTATGTAAATAATTTAGTTATGAAATATTGCATTAACCGGTCCCGTCTCATATTGCTCTATATTAAACTTTTTAAAATTTAGGGCGTGTAAAGTAATAAGCAAGTAGATATTCACGTGTATTAAACAAAAGACGACATAATCGCGTTCAGGGGTTAACGCGCCCGTAAAATATTAAACTCAAAAGTAATTGATCAAAAGTTGAAACTTTTCGTCCAGTAATCGCCGTAGCAGACAGATCCGTAGCGCCATAGACAGACACGTAGCGCAACCTGTTTGCCGGCACGGCAAATTGGAGTAACGAAGTAACTTGAACGAACTTCGGAAGCGATACGTTTCAATACGGACGAAAGTTTTCTCCTCCGCGCGATTTGCCGAAACCAGGATTGATTCGTCTGTCGTGGGAATGTCATTCAGAAACGATGTTTTATTCACGCGGATTGAATTAGGATCTGCATGACACGGAGTTAGATTTGTCGATTGCCGTAAGGTGCAAAGTTGTGCATGTCACTGGAAAAATAGTAAATACCTCAAAAGTGGTTTTCTAAGTATAAAAAGAAAAACATAATAACATTAATCACGATAGGTAAGATAAATGTCTAACTAAGTAAAAACAATAGGTATACTTTATCTAGTATTATGTATGTTCATAAGGTGGTCCCTCGAGGACTTATTTCATTAATAGAAAGTAACACTAAATCTCGTGCAGTGACATGAGAAAATAATGGTAACTGGTTATTATCTTCCAAACGTACGTCTATTTCGAAACAGTTAAAATGTTAGAGCTTGGTCATTTCGCACGATCTTTAAAAGGAATAAATAGTGTAATGTTAATTAATAAGAATTAGTTTACAGCCGAAAAATATAACATTTTAGTAAGTATTTAATTTAAATCATTACCTCGTAGGCCAAGAAAGGCGCGACGAAGGCGGCAGTTGAAAGAATGACAGGCATCGATCGGCCTCTCGCCCTCCGAACTATATCTTACCTTTTCTTATCTTATCTTTGATAGGTATTCTAAAATCTGAAACAAGGTATGTATTCATTATTGGCATTTGCAATAAAATTATTTATAATGCTTTGATGCCCACAAACATTTGCAAGTCGTACATATAGGTCTCGTAATTGTAAATACGTTCTTTTAAAGACAAAAAAGTGTAGGTACAGAAATTATGATTTTGTTCAGACGAAGGCATAGGTAGCTACAGCTAACCTTGACGCTTCAAATGCAGTTGCAATAGATGACGCTATTTTATGACGAAAATGCTTACAACGGATCAGAAAGACATAATAAAGTGTCATGTTTGGGCTAGAGGTGTCCAAAAATATAGTATTTAAATTCCTATCTTGAGGTAGATAAAATAACATAACATAAATGATTTTTAATGTCTTGTCTTGTAAATCTATATATATAAAAGAAAGTCGTGTTAGTTACTCCACTTATAACTCAAGAACGGCTGAACCGATTTAGCTGAAAATTGTCAGGGAGGTAGTTTAGAGCCAGGAGAAGGACATAGGATACTTTTTATCCCGTTCGAAATTTAAAAAAAAAAGTCTGTTTATTTATTGCCATTAAGGCGGAACAAAGTTCGCCGGGTCAGCTAGTAAGATGATAAAAACTCTGCTACAACAGAGATTGAATTGTCATTATCTTGCTCAAAGTAATTTATATTTATTTATGTTGTTGGCAAGGCACTTTTTTGGCCAGACAATTCTTTGTAGCGGTGCACCGTACCGATGTAAACGATGACGGGCGCACCGTTAGCGCCGCGATGCACGCCGGTCGTCGGTGCACGGAGTGACGTCCATCGATCGGCGCCGGTTCCCTCGGCACTGGAGTTCATCATGACTACCGACGCTATTAACTACGACGTTTTTCTTATGTTTACCATTTTTGTATCTGTTTTAAAACCAAAAACAATTTATGTTTTTCTTTTGTTTACTATTTTTGAATCTGCTAGGTAGGTATATCCTACTATTTTTAGCATTGCAAAAGTTTTTCAGCATGAAAATTTTTATTTTAAGAAAAATTATTGGTTGGAATTTGGGAAAACTTAACAATAATTATCTTTATCTAACTAAAGTATTTTTAATCGATATCTACAAATTCGCAGTAAAATAAAAAGTTAGTAAGAAGAGATTTCATACTAAAACTATTTTCTATAAGAAAAGTTAATAAAAATCACCACCTCGGTATGATATTCATGAAACGATTTGAAATAATACGCAAGAATTTAAAAAAATAAAATAACGAGCTTTTTAACACAGAGCTCTCTTTACGACACATAAATCGCCGGCTCAGCCGTGTAGATCCTAGTTATGCTATTATCACAATGCAAAATGCACCCGGCGTTAAGACATTAAATAAATTAAGCAAGCACATGCAGGCAACTAAAACCAAAACAAACGGTTGACGCTTTAATTGCTACGACGTGTTATAAATAATTAAATACGAGTCTGGCAGCAACTTTGAGTCAAGGAAAATATTTTTTTTTATGGCTCATTCATATATCTTATTCATCTCGCGTGTACAAATACACGCGGAATAAATGTTTCATTTCTTTATTAGACACGACTCTTAAAAGGCGATAATTTTAAAAATACATTTCATCATCATCATCATTTCAGCCATAGGACGTCCACTGCTGAACATGGGCTCCCCCAATGATTTCCACAATGGCCGGTTGGCGGCGGCCTGAAAAATACGTCATTTATTTTAACGAAAATAAAATTTACTGTTTTTCCTACCAACATAACATATACAAATGAGATAATATCTCAAACTTTTCTTTCCAACTTTTAGTGACTAACTTAAAACTTTTATTAAGCTCTAGAAAGTATGAAGTTATTTGGCAACCCCTAACTTTTTCTATTCTTATGGGTTATTACAAAGTTACTGCATGTTCTCTCTCACTCACCCTGATGCTCACGTGAGAACCTGAATCCTGAAGCTCACGTGAGAATAAAATGAAGTCGAAAATACGTTTTTGCGGAGAAAAGGCCTCACAATTTATGAGCCGGCGTTGCTGTCTAACACGGCGTGATAGGAGAGATAGAGAATTTTGAAATTTATTACTGAAGAAACCCTACCTGGTTTGTTGGCACAAAATCAGGGTTCTCAAAATTATAGATGGTAGTAATTTTTGGTCTCTTTCTCTTTCGGCATTCTATACAGACTATGCTAGAACGACGTGTCGTGTAGTGGCGACCGTGGCGACCACGAGCCGGAAGACGGAGCGTGGGCAGGCCTCCCACTAGGTGGACCGACGATCTGGTGAAGGTCGCGGGAGGTGCCTGGATGCGAGCGGCGCAGGACCGGTCTTTGTAGAAATCCTTGGGGAAAGCCTTTGTCCAGCAGTGGACGTCTTCGGCTGAAACGAGAACGAACGATGCTAGAAAGATCTATTACACAAAGGTTAAAGGTTTTCTCCGAAGCCCTACTTCAGAAAATTGATTCGTCGATTGCTATACCTATCTCTTTCACTCGCCATGAGATGCAGGCGTGAATGAAAGATTTGGACACCAAAATAATTATAATGATGCTGCGATGTAGACTCGGTAAAGTGTTCATTAATCAAATACGTGGGTTAATCATCAGGGTTGAACAATTGAACATGATAAAAAACAAAATATAAATATTTTGAAGCTTGGCTTACGTTAGCAACCAAACTACCTTTTGTCTTTCCCTGTACACGTAGGTAATACAGATTTATCCGTGAAAATATAGGGTTACCATCTAGCAGGATCTAACGGCGAATATTTAAATTAATTGGCATGCATAATGTAAGGATATTACTTATTTTAAAACGTTCGAATTTTTATCATAAAACAATATTAAGTAACTATGATGACCGCATATACCTAGTTAAGTTAAACACTAATGGAATTATTTTAATAAAAACAAAAGAGAAAAGTATCATATAATGAATAGCGTGGGTTGTACAGTCAGCATCCAATCCATAACATTGTGCTGCAAAATAGCAACTATTATGGCTGAATAAGACGCTACAGCTTCATAAAAACAAGGAGTATCTGGCAACCCTACCAAGGNCCTGGGCAGGTTATAGTATACTTAGGAATTCCCACGGGAACAGGAATTAGCGGGAAAATCCTTTTGTATGAAAAATCTAAACGCTTAACGGAAGTTAGACGCTTGAAATTTGGCATGTAGGTACCTTAGTAAACTCAAAGCTTAGTTACAACAAGGAATTCCCGAAATTCCCACAGGAATTAGCGGGAAAATCCTTTTGTATGAAAAATCTAAACCGCTTAAGTAGACCTGAAGTGATGCAGTGACCGCGCGCTCTCCGCCCTCTATCTCGAAAACGGTTCACCGTATAAAAAAAGTTTTTAAACAAAATTTGTAGAGAATTTAGTATTCTACAATATTGATAATAAATACAAATAGCAAAAAACCCACAGGAAATGAGATATTTCTAAAAAAAGCGCAAATAAACGATTTTTGTGACCGTTGACCTTGAAATTTAATAGTTGCTTACACCCTACCATATGTAGGTTTTGAGACAACTTTTAGGGTGTCAATATACACGTATTTACAGACTTACAGCTGGGTATCTCGAATTCCGAGGTGAACTTACTATAATGACTGGACTATTGCGCGCGGTGGTCATGAAAATCCGTATTTATAATGAGGTTTATTTTTTTCCTTTATTCTCTTTATTTACAAAGACTTGCCAAATAAAACATTTTCTATAACTAATTAAAATATTTCAACTCTATTCAAAAACAGAAACTTTTTTCATTCAGCTGACCGGTGAACAAATGATTAATTTCGTGGCAATTCCAAAAATAATTTTATTATGGGTATCACTCACTCGACTACTAACTTTGAGACGACATTGACGTGTCACCCATCGCTAAAAATAAATGGCTACGTTAACTGACGCGTGAACCATGTGTCAGTGGGTACACTCAGGTTGTTGTTTACTATTAGTAGACTATAAAACTCTTTTATGTGTGTTCCATAAGTACTATAAAGGACCTAATGTCGAACTAAGAAGCAAGTTAAACGCACTTTATACGTATACTTGTTGTACAACAAGTTTCAATATATAAAATAATTTTGCTTTCAGTTAGCAACAAATAGCATTAAAATTCACCAGATATTTTCATCCGCAAAAGTTTGACGTACTGACAGATACCTACTGCATGGAAAAAATTGTTAAACGTTCGTTTTATTCTTCAGTTAAAAGTTAACTGACGGTAGGTACTACTATTATTTATTCTGTGTTGACGGTTGACGGTTACAGTTTCATATATAACTTTAAAAATATACAATTGATTTTAAATGAAGTGATATTATAATGTAAAAGTTTTTCGTCAAGTTACTATACATTTTGTTCACGCAGTAGTTTCAATACTTAAGTGAACGTCTAAAGCCATATTTGAAGATTCAAAGAACTTTTCTACTTAATAAACGCCCATAACAATATCATACGATACAAAACTGCCTGAAATACTAAGTCCAACCTTTTTTATTCACTTTCAAAAGTTGGACTCGAGAATGCGGCAGTTTGTAGGTGGAAGCCATGCCGCCCACCGCGTCTCGCTTACAGTCTGAATCGATACCGGCCGAACACACGTTTCGCGCCATCGACGTCACCTAATCAATGATAAACTCGCGTAAGGAATCGCCAGATTGGAACGTTCCGACTCGATGCCTTCACGTTTTTATAACGCAAACGCTCGCGTTTAAGTCTTTTATATTATAGCGGGAGTTTTTCGCGGCGGTTTGCGTTACGATATAAATTTGATATAGGTACACGTTCTTGTTGAGCTTATTTATTCTAATAAACTTATTCATATTTTAAATGCAAAAGTTTATGAGATTATTATCACAGATAATATAATACTCTATTATTATGTTCACTCATAATTTTTATGCTTATACTTACATAAAATTGACGAAGTAGTACCTATTATTATTCTTTTTAGTTTTATAAATCTTATCAGAAAATTGAGATTTATGAGACACAAAATAACTAAGTATGATATTTTTCACGTTGTCTCGTCTCGTCTGATCTAGTCAATTCTCTAATCTTTCATGAAAATCTCATGATAAAATCGCAATTAACCCTCCACATCCGTATCAGTTATCTCATGTATTAATTAACTTAAGCTTCAAGGGTCTGATTGGTGCTATTGTAATTTTCAGCCGCCATTAGAATGTGGGATGAACGGCCGCGGTCCCGCGTACTGCGAGCCGCAAATGTGGCCGCACTATCAGGTATTGTTACGGCGCAGTTACACTATGCACGAACTTAATCGAACCAGTGTAAACAAGCAGTTCAGTTCGTTTCGACGTGTGTCGCCCATACTTCAGTGCGCATGTTCGCGCTTGTGTTCGATTAAGTTCACGCATAGTGTAACTGCGACATTATTAAAATCAATTAACCACTTAATTAGTTTTAGTTTGATGTCCAATTTTGACGCCTCGTTATTTCAATGGCAAGTGTAATTGTTATTGTGTTTTGTATAATAATTGATGAAGTGACATTTGTAAATAGTATAGATGCGATGACATGTCATATAATATTGTTTTGACGGAAAATTGGTGGTAATTTCAACAAACAAGCCTTACCCATTAAATGTAATACTTGACGTTTCGGTTGTGTTGCTACATCCGTTGTCACAAGCAAACTGATGGCACGCGGCGTCGTCTATTTTGTACGGGTGGGCTTGTACATTTTCGGTCACCTTCAAATTTTTTATTTATTATGTTATCAGAGAAGCACTACGACAGTAACATTATTCAGTTAACAAAATATGACGACTAAAAATAGCAACCATTATTAAGTAAATGTAATGAACACGTATGGTTTCCAGATGGGCGCTTTGGGCGGAGGAGGCTGGGGCGGATCGAACGCAGTCGCCGGCAGCTGGGCGGCACGCAGCTCCTGCTCACGTGAACACATGCGCTATCCTTCCGACTGTCGCCCTATGAAGGTATAGACAGACTACTCAAAAACTTTAAATATATTTTAATCCGTATTATTAATTATAAACAAATGTTCCTTTAACTTTTTAGGGTCCCCATCATGCCGCCCAGAATCAAGCTTGCTTACAGGACGGTAGGTCGACCCCCTTTAGAGCTTACGAAGAACCTTACAGCAGGGAGAACGGCGTGAGAGCTCCTGTCAAGCCCGAACCGGCAGCGAGCGTAGCGGCGGAGCCAGCGATGCCGGCTCGAGATCGCTTTTTCGTTGAGCCTCGGCGCACACCGCCCGAGGAAAAGCGCCCACCCGTGGTGCCACTGCCCGCCTTCCAACAAGCTTTCGGTTCGACCGAAATTGGGAAGTTCGCGGAAGCTTTTAGCCGCGCAGAGGTCGCGCTGGAGGAGGCCACTGACAACTTCTCATACGAGTCGTTCGCCGACTGGGACGCGCCTCCTGAACCGCAGTGGTCCTCTCAACCCGCCTCGCGGGAAATCAAATGCGAAGACAACTACTGATAACAGTATTGTCTTCGTCCTAGTGCTAATTCCAGGCGACAACGCCTTAGCTAATTAGACAATGTTTAGTTCCACCACCATGTTGCCAAAAGAGTAGCTACGAGAAGTTCAACGTAGAACTTTAGGATGTGATACCAAAATTTGCTAATGTGTACGAAAATACGATCGGATGAATAGTGGTGTGACATTTTATTTATATACATTATAAAGTAGATTATTAATTAGTTAATCATTTTAACTAGTTTTAGAGTGATCCTAAAGAGAAAGTGTATAGGAAGATGTGGAAATGTTGGTACTGCATTGCATAGGATACAAAATGATTCACGAGTCAATGTGCCTTTATTCGAAGAACCCGGCCGCAGCGCGGCGTCCCGCTGCGCACGCGCCCCTGTGGAGCACATCTCATTACAATAGCAATTATAGGGACCAACGTTTAGAAAAATATACAACACCTTCGAGAGCATCACATGCAAACACCTCAACGAAATATTAAAGTTTGTACTTAACACACAATTTGACACAGAAAAATCATGTATTAGGTACGCTGGAGAAATAAAATACTTACGCCTAGTGAGAACGTGTAAAATCTAAAACAAACTTAACAGATCTCCAATAACAGCTAAACTGATAACTACAAATGCCTAGTACGTAATAACTAATTAGGTACCTACTTGAAGTCATACCCGTACAAAATCGATTCCTCAATAAATGCAAAATGACTTAGTCGTAAATGTATTTTTACACATTTAGGATTCCAGAGAATTGGTAACCATTTTTATATGATAAAAATAATGTACCTACATATGTAGGTAGGTATAAATAAAAGTATGTAATTTTAAAAGCTAAAGTTTTTAAAAGTATAAATTAGTCTTGCATCCTTCACTTGCTAGGGGGCTCCACAGACGCCGCGCGGAGTAAACATTCAAAATTTTCCGAAAGTAAAGAAACAAGTCATAATGTATGTAGGTATTTAGGTAGTTAAATTTGATAAATTTTTAAAAAGATTACTTATGAATAAAAAGCTTTTTGATTAAAATATTTAGGGGTCCAACAATGTAAATGTAAAAGTGTTTGTTGCGATTTTATTTCAATACAATCTTTAACAAACACATAAAATAACAAATCCCACATACTGTGTTGTTAAATGCATCAGCAACATAAATGTGTTAACCTTTAGGAAATGTTAAGTTGTTTGTTACATGTATAGATGATCTAAAACGTGTTAAATATCTACGCAATGAATTAAAGTAGTTACCTAATATTATGAGTTCTTATTAGTTATCTGTGATATATATTATTTTGTAGGGGTTACTGTTCTTTGTTGTTCTTTTATTTCTTATTTTATTGCTATAATATATTGAGTCCATTGTGCCACTTAGCGTGTCATGAAGCATGTACATGTAACATCTAGGCTAACATTATCCAACGGTAAAAATTTACGTACCTAACTGTACTTACTCTCTGTTCAACATTTTATTAATTTGACAAGTAAAATATATTAACCAATCCCCTACAACGAAATGTATTCACCACAATGATAGCTATACCTTTCGACCACTGTTGCAGTGCTGTAACTAAATCTATAGATCCTTTCAATCAAAGCAAATTTACTGTGTGTGTAACTTTTATTAATATTATAGATAATTCTACAAAACGGATAGGAATGTGTATGTCTATTTAATATTAAATTAATTTATTTGAGCTTAAATAGATCACGTGTTTTAAAAGTGCGGTGCGTGAATATACTTACTTGAACTTCCATTGGTCTTCATTTTTATAAAAATCCTGTGTGTGTCAGTATTTTCGATCTCTTTCGACAAAAAACCAGCAAAATTAATGGAGTGCCTTACGTATTTAATATGATATGAAATTAGGATGAATGAATTTTATTCTAGCATAATTTGAGGAAACACCATAATATAATAGCGTAATGAAACTTCTTTTGAACCGAATATTTTCATTTATAAATTAAATAATAATGAACTTGAAATAAAAGTTATTTAATAATAACCTTTACGGTTACATAACATACAAAATATTTATAAATATAATTAAATTATGTAATTGTGGTGTGCACTGACATTCCACGTAAGTGACTGTATAATTAAGTAGTCGGTTTCCTTTCAGAGTGTTTTAGCGACTTACTATAGGTTTCTTTATTGATAAATAAATTGTAACTTTTCGTTTCATTAGATTTTTTGTAAGTTAATTGTAAAATCTAGTCAAAAATAATATTAATAATTGTTAACGATTCTTCCGTATTTGTAGGTTTAAAGATATTCAGCACTAAATTATTACTTTTTATAAGCTGGATCTGCCACGGGGCCGATTTAAGATATACCTAGTGCGTTGACGCATTGTCTGGGTGGCAGATACAGCTTCTTCGTACAGCAATAGCACATCGGACTACACATTTTTGTTGCAAAATAGCTCTTATCACCTCTACATAAGAAGCCACAGTGTTAAGCTTGATGTGCTGTCGCATGTACCCAAGCCATACTTGGTCATTACGATAATAAAGTAAAAAGTAGTCTGTGCCACATTATATGTATATCATAACGATATATATTTCCCTAGATAGTCCTATTGTTATTTGTTTAAAAGTATTAGAAACATAATTTTACTGTAGGGAGATGTAAAGACGGTAATTAAATTATGATTATTGTCTAGATGTTCGACAAATAGAGCTTCCCGACCGACTATCACATTTCATCTCCGTATTAAATCTTGCTCTTAAGGTATAATTTAATTAATATGCTTCCTTTTCAGTTATTGTATTGAATGAGATATAGTAGATAAACTCCCTGAAATAACTCTTATTGAATAATTTTATTTTGTCTCTATTGCTCCAAAAACTTCCATATCTCTCATAATAATTCTAGGTACTTATACTGTCGTATTTTCTAATGATTAGGAACTCCACGTAAGGAATAGTAAACAATTTTTATTTTTAATATTCGGCTTTAATCAATTCATCTAAAAGTATGATAATATTGTAGACAAAAAAAAAACACCAGGAAACTAAATCTAAAATTTGATAAATTCTCATCAGAATTAAGGATTAGGCCAACAAAATTTAGAGAAATAAGTATTATGTAAATTTGTTGAGACAGTGAAGTACTGAACAAAATTATGAATGAAAAATTTATTATGTACCTATCTAGTTATAATAATTATTAACCTTGTAAATAGTTAATTATATTTTGAATGTTTCACTCATATCAATCTAGATCAACTGTTTTCTTAGCAAATTTTAAGGTTTCGAATCCGAAAACACTGAAATGTTTGATTTATCGACGTCGATGTACGATTTAATAAACACATATACTTAGATGGGTTTTCTTTATTACCTCTTTATTTTTTCCTAATTAAACCTAGTATTCTCATACGCATCACTAGACAACGTCTCTGGCTCAGAAGTTTTGGATTTGATTTCTGTGTGTCTCACACAGTCTGGTAGTGTAGAGTTTTCTTCTAGTTTGGTTAAGACATTCCAGGTTTGAATCAACCTGATTTTCCGAAAACTGAAGTTGTTACAGTCTCAGATAAATATTTTCAAACATAATCCACGGCATAATCTTTGATTCGATGACTTAACAAGTTGCTAAGCAAGCTGTATTTGAAACACTTTTCAGGAGTGGCTTATAACTAAAGAGGTCCCAGCGTTAAGGTAGTTAAAAGATAAGCATTTTTTTATTTATGTTTATTCATAAGCAATAAAAAGTAATTTCCATATGTGTCACAAAAATGTAACTTATCAATACATAGGAAAACAATGGATACTACATACATCAATTGTAAAATTATAGTAATCGTGTTGGAAGCCACTAAAGGACACTAAGATTCAGTATTTATTTGGTATTTTATATTATTTGACAAACTACGGCCATGTGTGTTCGCGCCTCACCAAAGTGTAAGAATACCTATACAAGTGTAGGAATAATGTTGAAATGTTCGGTGCTCTTTTCGTCCAAAACATTGTGAAGGCACTTTTAATTTAGGCGTTTCGATAAGACAAAAACGAACCTTAGTAACAAACACAAATATCAGTTTTGGTATTTTATGAAACAAAATTGAGAGTTTAAATAAGTTTTTTATGACAATTTTACTTACATACTTAAAAAGTTGCTTCTATGGTTTTAAACATATAGCTTTGAGAGTGTATGGTGAGGTGTACAGCATACCACATCATGGGGAGTAGTTTGACAATCAATTATTTATTTACCAACATATTTTACAGGAAAGTTTATATTTAACTATATAATACATCAGAGACCATAAAATCAACCTTTAAATCAACACAAGTCGCAAACTATACAACGTGAAATTATAAAAGTTCAATACTTATTATAACATTAGTTACCTTCGTATTTTACTTCAATAAGTCTTTCTAAATATTCATTCATTTCCCTACATTACTTTTCAAATGTCATTGAAGTATGAAATACAATCGCAATTAATGAGCTCATCCTTCATTTCACTTTTCACTCATATTTGTTTATTCATTTTATTAATTATATTTTCTTAGTATAATAATATCTATAAATCGATTGTATAAGTTCGTAATTATTAAATTCGAATATTTTAACATATGTATATTAATAAACAGGTTTTATTTCGATAAATCACAAAACAATCTTTAATCAATACGTAAAATTCAAAATATATATTATGTGTGGTCATAATAATAAATAATTACATAATCTAGATACCGTATAAATATATTAATATCAGGTGTACCGGTAAATGCTAGTGAAATATCGTTTGCGACATTAGTAAGTTTGAATTTGCTTGTGCCACGTTGGTGATATGTGTTTGATCGAAGCAGCAAGCTTGTCCTTGTTTGAATCAACCCCAACAAATCTGCGTATCCATTTAACAATCTACCAGTTGTCTAAATAAAGAAACTGAATAAGATCTAACATTAGAGGAATTTATAAAGAAGTCAGTATTTTTTTTCTAAGGGATTTATTTTTTTGTAGAAAACACACAGCCCTCACCAAAGTCTACCGGAAACCAATAAATTGCAGATTTGTTGTCATTGCTTCAATTTTTACAATCGATGTCTATAGTTATGTAGAGCATTGAACACCAAAATTATGCAAAAGTATTTGAAATGTATCGCTGCATTCAATTCATGAATCGCTAATGTCATAAACAATACCACACAATACTACCAGTAACAAAACTATCATATAACTATAATATAATATCTTCCGGTAAATAATAAACCCAATCATGTAGGATTACATGTTATATCATTCGCCTAGCCTATGATAGAACTTTCGAATTTGATCACGAAGAGAAATTATTATCAAAACTACCTAGTGTACTTGTCCATAAGGTGAGTGCATTTTGAACTATAGGGTAGTGAATATTGCATTGCCAACATGACGAAATGAAACTTAAATACATTACAGCTAACTACTCTCACGATATATTTATTCAGTATGTCGATGAGTATACAAGCACAGGTGTACAGGGTACCTAATTTGGCACAAAGACATAATTCGAGCGTCCAAATAACAGATATAAATAAGTGCAGAAATTAATGAAAAGTTCAAAGGAAATAGTCGTTTCAGTGAATTATAAAACATATCAAATGATTTCTAATAATTTTAATCCATACAAATTAATCTAAATAATTGCAGAAAAACGGGTAAAACGTTTACCTAATCGATGGATTAAAATTATTACTCTAGGAAAGGGTTTAGGTATCTATCTAACACTAAAGTCGCACTAGGCTTTCTATTGTCATATTACCAAATATTCATAAGATTGTGACAATATTTTTACTAGTTTTCCTTGGAGTAGTTACAATAATTTTAAAATTAAAAATGATTCATAGCAACACCTCCTAAATGCGGATTTGGAGTTGTTTATAAAACAAATTTCCTGTATTACGCCTTTAGTGGTTAGAATAGACGGCTGCAAGTAGGTGCAAAAACTGAAACAACTAGGGGTAGTAATTAAAATTTGGTGAATTTGAAAATTTTACTATTGATATTGTCATTTGCATCATTAGAAAAGACCTTACGCTTCAATCATCGTAGGTCCAGAGTGTAAATAAAATTTAACATCTATTAACTAAAGTATAGTTTCAACGGGTGTAAGAAGATAATAGATAATTTACATAGAATATGGAAGAACGAGGTGCAGTTCGGGTTGTGGCACATGAATTTCTTTGGAACCTGGCTTCAAACGCGGACTGTACACGGATGACAACACTTATACTCATTACAGATCTCATCTGTTCTACAATAAGAGACATTCATTAATTGGACTTGTAATAACACAACTTTTAACATGATCTTCTGAGTACAGAAGTAATCGTTCATCTATTTCATTAAATAGGTGCCACAGAATGGTTTTAAACGTAATATTATCATACCGTTACGTATAAGTACCTCACATTAGAGCCGCACGCTTATACGTTCGGAAACTAAACACATGAGCTGTTTGAGCTTCGTGGGGTATTGGATAGATTTATCTATTTGAGCTTTTAAACAAAGTTGTCGAGCGATACAGTGAACCGACGTGCGGTGACGTATCTTCTTCCTCCGGGCTTCCAGCAAAGCGGTCGGGTCAGGGAAGTGTCGGGAGCGGGGGCACACGTGGTGGCGATCCGGGTTCTGGATACGCGGGGAGCACGCGAGTGACAGCGCCGTACAAGGGCAAAAAAGTGTGACAGCCAACACTAGCCTACATAACTGAACAGTCCACTCCTGTAAATTTTCCTGACTCCACAAACACGACAGTGATAGGAAATTGTCAAAACGATACACGGAACTAGCTGCCTATAGCGTTGATATGTGTAACGTTAAGTTTTTTGCTATCTCATATTGCAGCGGTAATATTTTGATTTTTCAGTGTGCCTACCATGAGTTTACGTTAGGTGAGCTCGCTAGCGAATACGTCAAAAAATTATATGAAGATTTTATTTCTTGAAAGTAGCCGCTAGGGGCGCTGCACAATATGTCATACATTTAAATGTCATTTTTTTACGCAGTCGCTAGCGAGCACACCTAACGTAAACTCATGGTAGGCACACAGTTCATAACATGCTCACGTTGGTATATGAGTTTTAGAGTTGCTGTCTTCTGCTGTTGTTGTCAGCGTTGTTGATTTGGCTCACATTTGTTTTGATTGGGATTTTCATGTCGTGCGTGTGCAGCCTCGGTATTTACGGAGTGGCTGCCGTCACATAGGCTGCAGCTGAGGGGGTAGTACCGTGGTGTCGGCGGCTAGTGGCGGTGGTCCGGCGCCAGCGACTTGCGGCTGGCGGAGAGGTGCGCGCGGGGCGCCGGGCGCTGCGAGCGCGGCAGCGTGGTGGGCGCAGGGGGAGCCGCGGCCCCCGCCCCGCCCCCCTCGCCCCCCATGTCGCGCGGTTTCCACACGGGCGATCCTACAACACACCAAACACCGAACTCTTTAAATTCAATCTTCGAATCGCGCGATGCGCCGGAACAATTTGGAATGATGGCGGTTTGCACTCTACCGATTCGCCAGGTGGTCACGGGCGCGAGCAAAGAGTTGAATGTTTGATGAACGTCGTCGTAGGGCCGACGTCGTGTACTCTTAGTACGAATTTCAAGATTACGATTATTACACACTTTCAAACCAATAGGTTCCGTTTTTTCTACTGCTACGTTGGTTGAACTCTACATTGAGTAACATCATAGAGTAGCACAAGAAAAAAAAAGAAGAAACTTATCGGTTTGAAAGGGTCGAATAAGTTGTAGTTATCGTAATTTGATAAATCGTACTAAAAGTACAGGTAGAAATCGTGCGCAGCGGGAGGCGGGGGCGGATCGGCCTGGGCGGGCGGGCTGGTCATGGTTCCGAGGCAACGCGGTCATCGAACATTCAAGCGGTGGGCGCATTCTTACCCGTAACCGTCGATCGCTCGGGGCCTCCTCTATTTACTATTACCTAGGTGCAGCGTCAGGTATCCCGACCGTCATCGTCTATCAGTGTAGATTAGAGGTGAGTGCATTACCTAAGTCCACAGAGAAATAGTGCACACCTAATTGAAGCACTACGTGAGCGAAGAAGTTTTCCTACTTTATTCTATAGATATAATGTGGATATTACATAATATTATGTTTATTTAAGTGTGTGTATCATGTTTATAGCCTATTTAAAACGATTTAGCATATTACTTTAAAACTATGTTATATTGTTTATAGCATCATGCATTACTGATTGATATACTATGTTTATTATACGTTTATTACTATAAGCGATTAATTAAACAGTACCCAGACTGCATAAGGGATACATCTTGAAACATTTATTTGCTGAAATCTATTACGACATTCATTTTAAGTTAATTTTTATATGTTTTTAATTAACAGACAGCATACGAGACTCACTATTGACGCTATTTAACAACCATTTGCAATAAAATTGTTTAGCGCGATTTTTGGATGTAATCCCAATGCTAAGCTAGAACGTTACTTCTCTAGATGTTGGTGTTATAATAGTCGAGGTTGAAACAATAGTGTCAAGTAAACAGACAACTTAATCCTAAATTGAGCAGATGAAGAATAATCAATATTACGCGAGAAATAAATATAGTATCATTAACAATAGATAGTTTGAAATGGAAGACTTAATGGTACAAATCCATGGCCATCTACATACGTAATCATAATTACATTAATCTATCGGGATGTATGTATAATAACAGTCGATGAAATTAACGAGAGAGATACTATTACGAAGGTGATTAAGGATTAACATCAGTACAATTCCACAGCCATTATTATATAAAACTTAGCACTTGGATTATCTAACATTAGTTTATTTATACGCAATATGGTTGTTATTATTCATCTACCTATGAAATTACACAACTAAGTATTTTAAGAATGTGTAGTTGTTATATTAAGTACAATACGATTCTACACATTAAATATTGGATTCATTTCATCATAATTTGAATATAGGTTAAAATTTTAAAACATTTAATTAACGTATACATAATTTGAACGTTGGGTTGATTCATAATGAAATCTGGTTTTTAAATTAAACATTTTATGAATCCTTTGCGTACAAATTATGGAATTAAGTAAATATCAATAACTTTAATCAACTTATAATGAAAAAAGTCAATAAACAGTAATTTGACCATCATCAAAGTATCGTCATTTTCACTAATCAATTCCTTTTAGCAATGGTTTAGACAAAGTCTCCACCATGTTATATTAGATGATAAATATACATAAATAAATCACAATGTGATAGATCTTATTTTATGTAAGTGCCTACTTTTTCTCGCTCAAGTTAGGTTAATGTTAAATAATAAAAAGTAATTAGCAGGTACAATAATATGTTTAAACATGTATTTGATCGAATTCGCTTCGTTCGGTGTGACGTGTGGAAGTGCAAGTTCCACGGTCATGGGCAATGTCCTCTAGAGTTTCGATGCTGCTGCGGTCAGATGAAGTGTTCCTGTCAGGAATGCGGGACTGCGAAGCTAGCGTCTTCCTTCTAGATTTGGGGGACTTGCCCTTCCCCCTATGCTAGGAGGTTTTAGCCTGCCTTTTCCCAGACAGGTAACATTGCACGCAAGTCGGGTGCTCAATAGCCTTAGTAATTGACTCGGTAGACTTAGATACCACAATCCCCATCTTCATAGCCTTATCCTCGGCTTTGGCCAGTTGGGAGTAATGAGTCATCCTATCCAAAGAATTAGTGCCAAGTCTTGCTAGTTTCTCACCGCTAGATTTGGATGACCGGCGGCTAACATTAGGCGATTTGCAGGGCGATCGGTCGAAGCTAGCCTGAGGTGTTCGCATGATTCCCTTTTTCGGGGCAGGCTTTGGCGACCTGGATCTATCAACGCTATTCTCGCGAGATTTCATGATACTTCCACGCGGGGACCTCGATCCATCAAAACTCTGTTGGGGTGATCGCGACTTATCGATAGATCCACGCGGGGACTTTGACTGATCAAAGCTGCCTCTCGGAGAGCGATGCATAGTCTTGGTTTGTTTCAGGCTAGACTTGTTGGGAGATTTGCAAACAATTACTTTGCTGACGCGATCTCTCTCAGGTGACTGACGATCTATAGACCTGTTGGGAGACTTGTCTCTATTGATGCTGCTGCCGCTGCAGGAGCGTATTACTTTGATCTTCCTCTCCTGGCTCGAGCTGCTCTTTTTCTCGGGAGACGATTTCAGAGATTGAGATTCATGCTTACCTAGTTCTTTGACCATCGTGGGTTGGTACTGGGTTGGTTGATGCGAGGATTGGATGAGTCTAGCTTGGCTGCCCGTGCTGCCGGCACTCAGAGTCGACGTCGTGCTGTAAAATGCAAATCCCGCATTATTGTTTGTTTAAATATAGGTCGTGCATAAACTGTTGACATATGTATGAGTAAAACAAGCAGACCTACGCGAATTTAGAGTTTCGATAGAATGTGATGAGTCTGGTGCCAATCAGCGTTGGTGTAGGTATGGTGTGTTTGCTGTACTTTTGTAGCGGTAACCCATACATATGTTGGTACCTTAGCGTGAGGTGGTTGGGAGTTCTGCCTAACCCTCGTTTGGCAGGCGGCTGGGGCGGCTCGTCCTCGCCCTCGGACTTGGAGCCGAGGTCCGACTTGTCGGTGTCTGGGGGAGGCGGCGGCGGCGCTCGCTTCACGCTAGTCTCTGTCGTGGGGGGGAGTGGGGAGGCTCGTGTTAGTGTTAGTCATGCGCCACCATCACGTACATTACGATTAACGGCTATTAGCGGTGCAGGTGTTACAGGACTACTATGGTCCAGAGCACTCTAATACTTTACGTTTGGAAAAGTTTTAAATACTTCGCGTCAAGTATTAGAGTGACTCATTTTGTTAAATTATATTTCAAGCTATGTTAAGGATCAAGCACTAAACAGATATGTTTAATGAAAGGAATGATATCCATGTATTTGATTAATTCGTTAGTAGGAAGGCTATTGATGTTAGTGTCTCTTACCAGCAGTGTCACCTAATGTTTTGCTTCGGTGCCTGAAAGCAGGTTCTTCTTCTGGAGGCGGTGGCGGAGGTTCGTCTGCGTCTTGCGAGTTCTCACGCGAGAGATCACCAACCTGAAATGTATTACGTACAAAATCAGCATCCAAATTGTATAGTTCCGTAGCAAGTGTTCTGAACTAGGATTTCATTTTACCTCGATATTGCCTGCCGATAGCCGTTGTCCACTTGTCTTTGGTTTCTTTGTCTTGCCCAGAGTTTGAGAGCCCTGCATCACTTGCACCTAGAATAAAAAAAAAATCATTTATTAACTAGCTGTGCTTGTGGCTCCGTACACTTACATAACGTTTGCAAGTTCTATTCATAGTTAACTTCAAAAGTCAATCTGGTAAGCTGATCCAATGACTTACGATTTATTTGTTGTCTGCCTTATGAAAAAAATGTTTTCGTACTACTCAGTGTTGATCTCTCCGGCCTCCAAATGTGTCTCGGTAAAGATCCAAAGGATCTGCTGTGTACGAGTAGGTAAGTATTGTTCATTGACTCACAGTGCATCTCACCTGATGCTTGGGCCTCTCCCGGTCGCGCTCCAGGGTGTGTGGCGCCCGAGGTGGGGCCGGCGCGGGTCTCGAGGTGGGCAGGGACATGTTCCGAACCGACTCCCTAATAATCTGCCTGATAGTCTTCAGGAACGCGTTGCGGAAGTCCGCCGTGCTGCTTGTACAAAAACAAAGGTATTTCGACTGTATTATTATGTTAGCAATATTGTTAATCCTGTGTTACTTAAGACTGCCGCGACATAAGCACAGCTTAGTGCAGCAGCCGCTAGAAAAACAGACTGTAAACCCTTTGTTGGCAAATAAATACTTTTTACTTTTACTTTGCTTTTACTGCGACGGAACTGTTAAACAACGGATTTAGGGCATTGGCGTAATTACTGCTATAGCCTATAAACTGCTGACATTCATTGAAACCGCAAGCGTTATCGTGGCTAATAAAAATAACAAACGATCAAATTATGAGTTTTATTTTAGTAGTTTGGTTAGTCGTTTGAAAAAGCTCCGAGTTTATGGCAATATTAAGAAATCACGAGTTAGTTAACTACGTTGTTTTCGAAGTATATTGTAGCGAAGTTAATAATTGTCGATACGATCGGCATAATTATGGCTAACGACCACGCCATCGCTTGGAGCCATTGACTTATAGAGTAGCTGCCAAAAATGAGCGTGATTTGTAAAAGTCGGAACTAGGGACTTCCCGGAAAAATGGGATCATTTATATTATTCTTTGTTACGAGGACATGTTACTGACTGCTCTTGATGGATCAAGCTGAAGTAGATACCTATATCCTTTACTTGGATATTTATCTCAAGTATACCTAATATTCATAAAACACTTTATTTTCATTTATTATGTCTTGTCTTTTTGTGTGATAGCTACGATATTAACTATGAATATTTTTTAACGAAAGCTGAAACCAAAGAAAGATGCAAAAATGACGTGGAAGACAGTCTTATGCAAGGGACCATTTTGCAAATAGATTTGAGTTTAACTAAATAATTTCGTTTGTAGTCTAATGTCGACGTGAAATTGTAAACTCCGTCTGTTTTAAGGATAACGTGAGGTTGTCAACTAACTACGTCAGATTCCTACAAATCTCGTATGAGAGCACTTTAAATTTTATCAATAAATAGAATCTAATATGATGTAGAGTTGAACAAATTGGTTTTAAGCTGTCTGTAGAAAAAATAAAAAGTATGAAAGTGGTAAAAACTCACCTGTTGGACAGCACGTAGACCTTCTCGGAGCGGCGCTGCAGCTGGCTCCTCAGATGTATCAGCTCCCACAAGAAGTGGCTGTCCATGTCTTTGGCAGAGGACGCGCGCACCTGGACCTCAGTCACCGGGATCAAGACCTGGTACCTGATGATCTCTACTTCGTTCGAGTTGTTCTTTGATGACACACCCTAGATGAAGAAAAAGGAAAATTTCGGTTAATTTTCTTCTTTGCCATAGCCTTTCTCTTATTTGGGGTCGGCTCTCCTCGTTCTGCGGCGCCAGGACAATCTGTCCTGGGTTGTCGAAATATTTGTTTGGGCACGCTAGTTCCGGGTCAACGTGGACCACCAGGTTTAAAACGACAAATAATAATATAATTTGTGACTGTACGTGTACAAAATATATTTTGATGTGGATTTCATATCGTGATTGCTGAGCTATTATGACTCTTTGGTTTGCAACTTTATTGAATTGGAAACGAATAGCAAATATTTCGTAGTTTGAATTGAACTAACCGCAGTAATTCATCATCTGACAAACCGGTTTGAACGGATAAATTAGAAAATTAAATTGTTAAGTACGATTGTTCTCTGACAGAGGCAAAGCTAATCGTTATAATTACGAGTAATATGAAAAACAAAAGTTAGATAGGATTTCGTTTCAAATCAAACTTGCTATATGCGAAAATTAATATGCCATGACTAGCAGATGGGGGTTGTTAAGGCTCTTACTAAAATAAACTTTTAATCCACAAAGGTGACTGGATTAATATTTTTCTTGAAATTTGGAATTACTTTTTGTAAGTTGCGCAAAGTTCAAGCACGAAACTTGTTCAATTACCGGGAACGGTTTGTTAATAAGGTACTAGAGAAAATATGGAAGTCTTGATAAAGTCCATCACGCTAAGTATATCTGAACTAAGCAGCGAATCTTAAGTTTAATTTAGATTCGTATTAACTGAGTCTTGTTATTCAAATACTATGCATAGACTACCCACCATCAACTTCTTCTTTTGTCTCAGTCTTTCTTTGCACAGGAAGACAACAGCTGATTTAAATACAAAGCACATAGCGTGCAGTTCCAATCCTTTCTTTATTTTTCCTAAAAAGTCTGAAATATTTAACCATTCTACTCCACCGTAGTATAACAAATCACCTGAAAACGAAAAAAGCAAGGTTAATTTTTCTACTAAACGAAATTACTAATTAATAACGTCTTAAATAATAATCTTACCAGGACTTAGATCTATAGGTTGCTTGCAAGACTTCTGGTGTTGCCTAAACAAGTGATCAAAGATAGCACCATATTCTTCATGTATTCGTTGCATCTCATTTATATGTTCAGCAACTTTCTCCATTCCCTTGAGAGCCTCTGCACAGAATACAAAATGTATTGAATAAAATATGTAGCACGGTAAATTGAGTATAGAATTTTAAACAGCTCATCATTTTTGTTACTGACCTACTAAATGGAGGTGTTCTTCAGAATTAGCATCAGTCAAATTTCTCAGTTGTTGAAGTAATAAGGGATATTTTAGTATCCGTTGAATAGGTTTGATAAGGTACGACTCGAGTGTTGACGAGTGCTGCTGCTTTGGATTCCTGGCCGCCAAGAACTCTTGCAATGCTTGGTTTCCTTCATCTGCGACAGTAGAGACCATTGTGAGTTATGTATTTTCAAGAAAGGAACAGAAATGTATGTTGAAGATACACTTACTCGGATGCAAGACTTTCTGAGCCTTGCTGTGACTGGCACAGAAAGAGCTGTATAATTTGAAGTGGTTGACGTAGTACAAGAATGCATTTCCAACCGCGAAGAGTATATTCTGAAATCAAACGCAGTATGACAACGCGGTCCAAAAACAGAATAACAATAACTTTAACCAAAATACTAACTTTAAATTGATTTGAGAATTCAAAGTGGTGGAAGTTTGGCTCAGCCTCGAGCGCTTCCTCTAAGTTTTGCAGGAACTGCCTTTGGAAAGTCACAATCTCCTGAATGTTTCCAAATAGGGCGTTGATCTCGGCGTTTGATAAAAAAGTTTCCTTCTTCAGCGGCTCCAAGTAGTTCTCCAGTAAGTTGTTCAGGTGCTGCAAACAATCGATTCATTAAGACTTCCTTGTAGGTAACACTTTTCAGCCACTCAACCCATTTCGGCGCCTAATAATTAAATATGAATATTCTAATCCACAAATGGCAGATTGTCGCAGGTGCGTCCAGTTTCGCTTGGGTTTTACCAAGTTTTAAATACGTTTTATAAATCCATCAGAAGTTTTCGGCTCAATGAATATTTATTTGGAGTGCGAAGTCCATCAAAATTAATTTTATCTGCCGATCTGTTTCCGTTTGGGCGAACCTGCGATCTACCTGATATGCATTAATTACGTCTATACTACTTAATTGTAACCACGATGCTGTGCAAGATATTCAACGAACTTTATCTTACGTACAATATATTTTTTCCACATACTTAAGTATTTAAGTATTTGTTTAAAACTTTATTGCATAAAAGATGTGTTACAAACGGCAAACTTAATGCACAGCAAATAGAGTGAACGGTGTATTTTCATTTGCGAAAATGTCAAAACAGTTTTACAAACGAGGAGTAGGTGTCATTACATGTAACCTATTGTATTGTGCAGTCAAAGTACCAAGTACTGACCTTAACATAAGCGCGCTCAGTGTCCACCAGTTCCAGCAGGACCTTCTTCAGTTTGTCGGCATCAGACATGTGCCGGGAGGGCGTCCCAGCCGCGGCACTGACCACGCTGCCTGTTGGGCTCCCGCGGCGGGTGTCCGCCGGCGATCGGCACCAGCCGGTCACCTGTTCTGCGCTCTATATAACAATCAAAGATAGATGGAATATACTGTATTGAAAACCATACAAAATAGACATAAAAATATCAAAACGGCAAAATAATAAGGTATAGATTCTGTCCCTCCTAGTTTACCTGAGTCAGATGAATTGGCCTTACACTTCTTATGCTGGTCAAACGGGTTGGGAAGGAATGATTTTTAATTTTCTCACTTTTGCTTCATTGCCACATACCTACTCTACAGGAAACACTGGTAACAGGCTAGCAGGTAGGATTATGACGTGATAGCTCATATCATATCAATATCATATCATATCAATACAATCGCATACAATTTTTAGTAGTACCTTCTTAATATACTTTGAAACTTGAGGTATAAAATAAGTCAAATAGCCTATTAGCAAAAAACAAATACACAAGTCACGTACGTTCCTTGGATTAGTTTATACGACAGAGTTTAATGGGCTTTCGCACATAAAACGTTAAGATCGTATACGTGTTCTCGTGAACTCTCAACCAATGGGAGATCTCATCTGTTCATTGTAACAAGATTACAAGAACAGGTAGCAGCAGTTCGAAAATGAAATAAAGCCGCAAAAATGGTCGATATCCATTTAGTTAATAGCAAACCTTCGACACGAAAGAAGGGGATAAGTAAACACGAAGCCCATCCAATCTATCTTGCACAGCGTAAGGAGGCTAACATTATCGTATACCTACAGCTTGATTAACAACACACCTTTCTCAAACACATGGGGAGCTACTGCCATCGCCAAACACGCCGGCCTAAACAGATTGGCAGGCGGGACTACTAACAAGCCTAACGTGCTCGGTTTAATCAAATTATTTAGTTAACCTAATTAGTATCAGTCTGCTATTTAGTAGTATTACTTAAGTATTTATAAATACTTTTATTTATTTAACACAACACCTTACGCATACGTTGTCACGTTTACGTCAGTAAAGTTTATCATTTAAAGTACAAAGGTAGGTAAGTGACATTTTGATTAATTTAATCTGATTACAGAACGACGTAAACCATACAGAAATTTATTGGAGCCCTTGTAATAAAATGTACGTGATTACGTGTGCTAAATGAGCGATCGCTTTCGCTCGCCAACAACACGACATTCATTAAGCACCCACGTGATATCCATGCGTGATTGCTCTCCCTACCCTTATTACAGTTTAAGGTCGACCCATTTAGGGTTTTCACCCTAAGATCCGCCAACACTAATCGCGTTCAGAAAAGGTACACCTGTGGATTCCCCAAAAATAGACAAAAGAATAAAGACAGCTTCCGAAATGCTCCTCATTCAGTTATGAATTGGTTTAATTTGTCTCTAAGGATCCCCGGCCGACCACAATTTGCATTTAGCATTTTACAAATAACAATGATTTACCTACAATTGACTTCCAAATAGGTTGTTCGAATCCCCAGGTAGGGAAATGGCGGCTATAACTCTTTAATTACTTAAAGGAACCGGTTGAAGTTGAAGCAATTAAAAACATTTGTACTGGGTTAGACAGAAAGTGAGGTTTAGGCAGACAAAGGGGTTCTGATAAACGTTCCGTGTCTATAGGTGGCCACAAAGGAGATTGGATACGATCTACAGGACAGGTATAATAATAGGGGAACGGCATTAAATTGCGCGTACCCCATTTGATTCGCCAGAGACGATTATTATTTTCAAGGGAGACATTACCATGCGGGTATCGTAACGAAATAAAACGTGGAATGGTCGCAGAGAGATGGATAATTGAATCTAGAATTAAGTCGCGGTCGTGCATGTGAGAAAGGGTAGCGAACTAATTTATTTTATTAGATCGCGGCGCAGGTATAAAAAAGATTATGGTTGTTACGGATATCATGTGCTGTATAATAAATTGATCGTTTTACTCGGAAAAATGTGCTATTTCAGGCTAAAAATAACTTTAATGGCAGTTTAACGGACGGGGAAAAAGTACAACACTATAACCATACTATGATAAATGATAACTACTTACAGTAAATCTTACCTTTAGAAGGTTTTCAATTTCAAACGAATTCGTCCGCGAGCTGACTTTGGGCGGGCCTGCATTCACCGAGTCCCCGCCATGACCGTCTGTTTCGGGGCTGTATAACTCCTTACCTGTAAAAAATTACCTGTTGACCATCGCCCCTACTACGCAACTCGATTTCAATATATTCAGGTCGCGTTCACTCACAAGATTCTGCCATGAATGAAAGGGACTTACCGTGGTGATATATAGAAATCGATTTGGGAGTAGACCCGTAGATATTTTAAATCAGTATTCGGATATTGCACGAACCTTTTGCATATAGAACCATTTTATTTTGTCATCCATTATTTAGATGTTCTAATCTAGCGATGTTAAAAGGCATTCAAGTTGGAAACAGATTGTTGTTGCTTCATTACGTACTAATAGACGTTAATGGAGCTATTTTCGTCCCAAAGCATTCTTACTTATTCTTAATTTCTTTTACTAAGAACGGTATTTGTCTTAGGATTAAAATAATGGGTAGCTAATTACTTTTCACGTAGGTAGTACACCCAAGTCAAAAGAAACAAAAAAAGTTCCATAATCATTGTCAATAGAGGAAAAAAAGGGATGTAGGTAGATATTAATAAAATAAATAATCATGTTTTGTAAAAATAAACCAGCAAACGATCTTAAATAATGTAAAGCTACTATTATTGTCGGCCGTTTGGTGTAGTGGTTCAGAACGGACTACTATGCCGAGAGGTCCCGGGTTCGATTCCCGGCCGGGCAGAAATTGAAATGATGAATTTTAATTTCTGTGACGGGTCTGGGTGTGACTATGTATAATATGTATGTATTTAAAAAAAAGTATATAAGTAGTATATCCGTTAAGTTAGCACCCATAACACAAGCATTAAGTTGCTTACTTTGGGGCTAGCTGGCGCTGTGTGAAATTGTCCAAAGATTTATTGTAAATATTTATCTTTGTTTCAAAAGTGAGATATTGGACCGAAAATTGCGAACATTCAAAACATCCAGTTGAAAATAGGTTTATGTTCATAGATTAGATTTACGTGGAGAAATAAATAAAGCTACACTGGCAAGAGCTCAAAATTCAGCATGTTAATAAAATGAACTTCGGTCCAGTTGGTCAATAATGCCATTACTCTATCCCTGGCAAAACTAGTCAACAAGAGTAAAGCTCCTGTGTGTCTATTCCTATAGTAAAACTAACCTATATTTTCATATCAAAAAGTATACCTACGTAGGTAATGTACTACGGAATGTAACGTTACGGCACAGAGTATATTATCTACTTCGTAACGGAAGGTTAACGCCACAAATAGTTTTGGTGCATTCTTAGCTCATTATCGTCATTTTATTTAAAATTTTCTATTAAATATTAAAGCTCAATCAATCACAATTAATTCTACGTTAAGTAGGTTAGGCATTTACCAAAAACACATTGAGTGAAAAAGTTTCGCACCCTGACCCCCTCAATAGGCCTCATTTTAAGTTGCCCGCGTCCTTTACAACTTCAACCTAGATATTACCGTCCTTGTAAGATTCCAATAACACGGAATTAAAAACATAAGAGTTTTCAATATCATCCGAGGAAATAACAACGTTGATGGTGGAACTTTCACGGCGGTCGTTTTATGACATGAAGTCACACAATGAGTTTTTGGTCGCGCTAGTCAACACGGCGGCCGCAAACAGCCCGGGGTTGGGTCACGGCCTTTATTTGAAGGACGGGTATTTCTGTTTTGAAATTAGCACAACACTTTATTCAACTACGGTTCTTTTCGCTCCATTCAAATACTTATTCGCGGTCAAGTATAAAATAGCCAACTCCAAGGCTTGACGTTAAATAGCGCTAATTTGCGAATTGGGCGCTGACTTTCTGTACATTTTTGGCAACGAATATTATTATGTACCCGAAGTAATTGTCCAGATCGGACTTTTTTTTGTTAAATATAAAAATTTGAATAACGGAAATACCGCTCGAATAACGTCATCACAAAAGAATCCTAACAATGAGTATGAAAGATAACGAACGAAAACAAAGTGAAATATTGAAATTCAAATAAAGGTGCAAAGTGAAATGAAAACATTTTCGGGTCACATATTGAATACGCGTCATTAGGAGAAAAAACAGACGTCTCGTTAGGTGAAAATAACGTGTTTGCGGCCGAGAGAGGCGCCATTGTTCCGAGCCGCGCCCATGGAGGCTCGTCGAGTCGATTCCGTATAGGTTCTCATAAAACAAAAAACAACTACATGTCGACTCAATACGCCGGCATAATTGCCTCTCATGTTGCACAAATGCCAGGGCCGGAATAAATCACTCTGGACTTACCAAGACCAAAGCAATTTCCACACCGTTGACTATAAATAATGAATTAGATTAGGCACTAGTACCCGCCAGAAATAACGAAGAGAAAGAGCCAAAAAACATTGCAAAGAAATTAGTCAAAATTTATTTATTTCTTAAGGACGAGCGGCTTGACTTTCTTTGAATAAGATTTATAAAGCGGCCTTACGTTTGGGTAAGTAGGTAAATGTTTATTTCGGAGAGTTAAATTGGGTAACATTGCACGATGAAAAAGGCTGAAAATTTTCATTTTATCTGGTGCTTTTCCGTTTATTGTGTCAAAGGAATTCTGTTACAAAGTACATTCCATCTGTATGTCAAGGCAGAATGATGTAGGGAACGGTTTGAATGTCACTCAATACATAACTGTGTGTCAATAAACATTTCGCCGAGTCACAAAGTTAATAACGCATCCAACATTTCAGCTTTAAATGATTCTGACAACGTTCGTGCGACAAGTTAATATCAGTCAAGTCAACCTTCTCACATAGTGTGGGTAAAATCGGTCGCAGTACATAGACAGACATGTATACTACATACTATTACGAGTACCTATATACTTATTGTAATTGTTGGATGTTGACGCAGCTCACTGCGAGTCTGTGCCGGTCATAAACGCTGAGTGTAATAAACAAGAGCGTGCCAAATTAGACATTGTTCAGTATATTATTTGAGCTTATATTAATAAATTGTACGAGTTATTCCATGACGGAAAATAATAATTGAGCTATCTTATTAAGTACCACCGCTTTCAATTAAAGTTAACTCTATTCTATTGTATTCTTTTCCATTCTATTTGTATTTTCGGGACTATTCCCACCTCTCGTTCCCACCGCTGCAACTGTGCATCTACAGCTTGACCGCCAATAAAAACCCAACAAGTAAAGGTCAAGTTTGTCCGGGGGGAAAGTTAAACTGTCATTGGACCCGCAACGAAATTGATCGGAAGAACATAGGAGGAGTCCGAAGTTCTAAATTCTATTTGTATTGTGTTCATAGCTAAGATCGATAGTCCGCAGAACGGGAAGTGATATTTTGTAATTCACGATGCACAAAATATATAACTGGCTGACAGCCATAATTCAGATCCAATGTAGATTTGAGATTCGGAAACGATGCCAAGTGATACAATAATACCGTAGACTGAAACGCTGCTTGTTACGAAAAAAAAAACGTCGTTATTTTAGCAAAAAAAGGGGTGAGCTCTTGGATTTATTGACATTGTTGTTTTACAGCTATAAACCATCACGTAGGTTAATGGGTGAAAGCCATAAATTATGAATAATGATCCGTATGACACAGCAACACCTTTATTTGTATTGGTGGGGGCTGTGGGTATTGCTACCCTGTATACAGCTCGCGGTTAAAACGTTTCGTAAAGTCATCTTCGTGGCAACGAGGCCAGTAGGGCAGGGACATAGAAAATAGAAAACACGAAACGAATTAAGCTCAATGTGATTTTCTTGAAGACATCATTAATTAAAAGTTTTCCGGCAAGCAATAGCGTACGTATTTTGTGTTGAATGAATAGTATTGTGAATGTGGTTTGAAGTGATGAATGAAAATTAAGCACCGTTACCGTGTTAGCAAATTAGTTGCTTATTATTATTCTGTGGTATAGGTATTTAATTTGGGGTAACTCATAAATCGTATTTTTGTACTTAGATTGCCTACATTCTTAATAGAAAGTTGTCATCTCTTACTTTACAACAAACTTTTGTTAGTATCTACTTAGGGTTTTGTTCTATTTTAGGGTAAGCTATACATATTTGGGTCGTGTTTAAGTGCCCTGAAAAGGGCCTACATTTGAATAAAGTACTTGAATCTGTAATATATTCCCTGGCTTGAAAAACCTTGGTTCTTAAATATTTACTAGCATTCATTTTGCGGAATCACGTTAATTGGTAACAGGATAGTATTAATATGCGTAACCGAAGCGGTATCGCAAATTGCAATTCAATTAGCGCGTCGATGGAATGATGGTGCGTGAAGTTCCGTTATTTATTGCTTGGATCGGTGATGTATTCATAACTCTGAAACGTTATTTTCATAACGAGCAAGCGCTCGTTACCATTTGACGTGACTGCTGCGCGTGACGGTTACTCGCTGATACCTGTCGTTTTGGCAATCCAATTCAACAACTCAATTTAATAAAACTGGGATAATATTGGTATACGTTTAAAATGGAAACATTAACAGAGATGTTGACATAACTTTGTTCAATTGTTTTTAGGTAAATGTGTGCCTATTTTAGTGCTTGACGCACGCGATATTCCAATGTTACTAGCATTGTTGTTTATTTATCGTATAATGTTTCTATTTTCATCTCAAACATCACATCATGACCTATATTAGTTAGACCTGCTACTCCTATGGGAGTACTCGACATAATTACCTAGCTTAGCTTTAGTATCTTAGTGAAAACTGCCTTGCCATCATGAAGAATATGATGTTTTTAAATTCGATCTTTCATTAAAAATACGTTATAGAGTTACCGATTGTCTCGCTCGCTAGCAAAAAAAAACACATTTTAATGCAATATCCGAACACAAACACGAGTTAAAATATTTCATTTCAGTGCAACATTCAAAAATCGTAATAACTACATAAAAGCTTACGTCCGTATTCACAAACATTACTATGAGATCTCATAGTGCGCGTGGACGCACAGGGTGACACACGAACCAATCACAGAGCTCTGTTCAACGCTGTGCGTTTTATTTGCTGCTTCACTTAAGCACGCATCGTTTTTGAATACGGGCGTTAGTAATGCAAGTAAGTAATACATCAAAACACTTACTCCAAGCTGGTGCGGGCACGATGAGTCCAGAGATCATGTCGTCGGAGATGACCGGCGGCTCGCTGGGCGGTGGTGGGCACACCAGGGAATCTATGATGTCGTCGGTCGCAGCCCTCATCATGCCGGTCAGTTCAGGCGGCTCAGTGCGGGACGATCTGGTATTATTGGTCAGTTTAAAACTATGCTGGACAAAGAGTAAGGTAAGAAAAAGAAGCTTATGAAATGAACGTTGCTAAGTACTACACAAGTAATACACAAGGCAACAATTAACGTGTTTAAAGACATTGCCTGACAAAATTTTGTTACTGGAAATAGAAATCCTTTTTAACCTTTCCCCGAACTCGCAATTGGGGAAAGATGACGCGAACATTCCCATCCCTCAAATGAAGTCTGTCGAGGGAAGGTGGGAATACCCAAATGACGGGTGGTGTACTTGTTACATACACAACTTTATTTCATTCCAAAACTTATTAGTGAAAAATGTTCGTAGCAATTTTCGTAGTCGTAGCACGTAGAAATGTCGTAGTGTGAAAGCATAGCGCACGGCGATAAACTTTATTTTAGTTCAAACTTTTAATTCAAAATAAATGGACGGAAAATACAGCATCTTAAATATGGGTTTTATTCGTATACCCACTTTTTATCTTTAATTTACATATTATACAAAACTCCACATAGAATGAATTATGTAAAACCTGTATTCATGACTATAGGCATTGTCTCTGTAGAAATTATGAATATGCAAAGACGATATAAGTTGACATTGCATTTTAATGCGATACCGTGCAACTTGCAGGTAACATGTTGAGAATGAGTTTTGAATTATTTTTCGTAGCGTGCTACGACAAGTATCTTCGTAGTTTGCTACGAACTTTACAGAGGATTATGAGCATTTGAACAAAGTATTTTTCACCGTGTAAAGTTGCAATTTCTTTTCAAGTTTCTTCTGTAGTTGGTACTTAAGACTTTGACACGGAAGGGAGACATTACAAGTAGGTATGTGCTGGAAGTATCAGCGTTGCACATCAAAACGTGCGTGGGCCTCGTTAGGCATATTCGATTTTTTTGATGGAAGAACTTTCTTAGCTGATTTAAATCTACGCAGAAGCTAGCTATACAATTGTGATATTTTTATATTCCTTTGGTAATTTATAGACCTCATAGAGCACTTTATTATGAAACAAAACTGCGTTTTAATTATAAAAAATATTTTTATGGCTTGTGCTCCCACGTTTCAAGAAAATAATCACAGTTTTAATCGCAGCCGTGATTGTTTTAAGCTAAAAGCCTACAAGTGTAAACAGTCAAGCATTTTTCATTGTTTGCACGCTACGTTAAATATTGCTTAGGCTCAAAATTTTTACGTAACTTACATTTGAGGTCGAACCTCTACAATATTAATGGATATGAGTTATGAGGTTAAATTTGTAGTCGAGCAACAATTTCGTATCGGAGCCGAAAAACATGAACTACCTAAGGAAAGTTTTAATCGCATCAAGTACACAATTGCTCATATTTTATCCATTATTTAAGTAATGGTTAAACACATACATAGAACCTACTGTAACTGTTAATAGTGTTTCATTAGAATAACAAATAGCTATGAAACTAAGGAGAGGGGGAGTTATTTGTCGCAGCCAAATAATGGGACGGGGGCTGCTGATGGCAAACAGTTGTTAATGCATTAGGTATGTACGATAAATGAAGATACTATGACGCGAATTGATCACCTCGGTCGCCGATAAAATAGAAATTGGGTGGAGAATTTTTCCACACTTTTTCGGTGAAAAGAATGGACGAGTGTGTTCGTGTTCACTTTACACAAAGCACACTCTCAGCATTCGAATGTGAGCACAAATGAGCTTATGTTTTGTCTGGCTTTCGTGCAGGTAGGTACGTGACGTTGAATAAGGGAGAAAATGTCACAAGGCATTGGCAATTGCAGCGTGACGAGGCCCCGCGAGCCTTCAACGAGATGCCAGTTGAAAATACACGATAGGATTACGCTTTCAGGATTATGAATAGAATTAGACAACTCAGTCTTTTGTCTCGACGATGAGGGTGAAACTCCGATGTTAGCATCACCTTAATTATTCCTGCAAACTTAACTTCACCGTAACGAGACAATGAGCGAGGCGTCTAAAACCGGAACGGTTAATACGAACGGAAAGATGAATCAACTCACAACAACAATAATATCGCGTCGCGGGTGCTTGTTTCGAGATGACATTTGTTGGGGAACATTAATTCACGCGCGTGACGTCGAGTGGCTCAATTGCGGACGCTCACAATGGCCGCGGTGAGCTAGTGTTGCCACCCCGGGGAGCTAAAGTGTGTCACCTGTCCAGTCCACTATAATAACTACATTCAGGATTAAATATAGCCCACGTGTAAACGCGTGAAAGCGAGGCGACGCTAAATGAAGTACGAGTCCCAATTCGAGCGGAAAATTGTAGCATTCGAAAAAATGCATCCGAATGCTTGTTCCGTATAAGTTAAGAGTTTGCCTTCGTTACATACAAAACTCTTTACCTGCCTCTAGCACAATTAGTTTTATGAAAAAGTTGGCCCAGAATGCGATCGGATGTAGCTTTTTAAAATGAAAGCAAAAAAGAAAAATCGATGGAAAATTATTGCAAGCGTTCGGGCATAAAAGTATTGGATTTTAATAAAGTTACTCGTGTTAATGATTTCAATGATTCTGACTGAAGAGTTTATTTAACTCAAAATTGTGTAGTTTCGAAACACAATTTCAATTCAATTTACATTCATGTGTTATTCAAAATCTCTCGGAATTTGTTTCAAATGTTCTACTAGAATTAATTGAACAATTACGAGTATTATGAATAAAAAAGTATTAGATTTGTTAAAAAATAAGCAAGCACATCAATATTGATCCAATTTCCGTAACCGTATTTCGCAAATCCGTTACGTGTATGTCGCAGCCAATTTTTCACAAGCAAATTGTAAAAGTTCGTGTTGCAGACGTTATTAATTTCGTGCGAAAATGACAGGCAATTTTGTGTTCGAAGGGCGGAGAGGATACTACATTGTTATTAGCATGGTAGACACAACGCTTTATGTGGTCATAAAATGTAACGGGAAGTAAAGGATGTCTTCTTGTTCTTTACCGTTTTTGACGCTTCTAATAGCACTGTGGTTAAAACGATTACATTATACCACGTACGTTTTTATTACTGAATTGACGACCTTTTAGAATAATCGCATGCGAAATGATCACGGATTAACTTAAGTAATGCGGGTAGGTGTTTATGGAAGATAGATCGCTCGACCCTCATTCTAGGTTATTTATTACCTTCGACGCCGATATCATTGTCCGTCTTTACACGAATTAGTTTCTATTCTACAAAATTCAGAATTACGGTATCCAACCGTTAAGAAGCTACGTTTTCTTTAATAAGTCCCGATATCATTAATTCAAGGTTGTTAAAGCAATTTTCAAAGGTAAGTTATTTATATCGAAAACAATTTGAAGACTGATTTATTGTTACTCATTAAATCTAAACCCAAGCAATGTCGTGGAACTCGTAAATTAAGTCGCGAATTGTTCAAATGAGATTTATATTTAGGTATGCCAATAGGAATTCCAGAAAGTGACTATTCAACAAGAGTTGAAATGTGGATAACAGAATTCTTCGAGCAAAATATACACCATCTGATACGATTTCTAAGCTTTCGATAAGTAAAACAAACAGCAAACTTTTAGCAGCTTGTTGGTTATTCCCATTAAACCGCAGCACTTCGATTATGAAGTTATCTGTTACGTTGCAGTTGGCAGCGCCGAGCCGGCCCGGCTCATGGCGAGGAGTATGTAGGTCGCCGCTAGCGCTTGGGCAAACTTGTCGCGCGAAAGGTCAGGTGTATGAGGGGAAATGTCGATGAGCAACCTCCGCCTAGGCTCCCGACGCTCCAACTTCCGCTTTATTAGGTGCCAGCCTGCCTTCTTCCTGTTCCGCAGCTTTCCAACCGACATTTTTGTCTCCCGCGATTTATTCTAATCCAATGGTAACGAATGCGCCGCGAGGGTCCACTGATTAACGGGCACCGGTTAACTCGGTTGACGATCGATCAATTCTCATTAACATTTAAATAAAATAAACCGTGTCCCATTTGATCCCGATGTCGTCGGAACAGAGACTTTATAATGAATTCGTCGAAATGTTTTGTGAGTTATTCCATCAGTTAATTAGTGTAACGGTCGGGGTTTTCAGAGTACTCGAAACTTAATTTACATTTATTGCTTTACGGTTAGTATTTATTGCATGCACAGGTAGAAATTAAAAAGCGCAGCGCTTACCTCATCATCATGACGAGAGAGAGCTCCTCTTGCAGCACGCTTTCCAAGTACATCATATCTAGGTCAGATACGATCGCTCCGTTGATCACCATTATCTCGTCGCCTTTGATTATGCCTGGCGCAGAAAACAAATTGTTGCTGGAATGATTACTTTTTGCCTCGCCTAAGCAGGAAGCGAAAAGAAACAAAGGAGATTAAAAACACCAGCTAACAGGTACGCAAACCGATACCGTATTGATTACAGAGCAGGGAGATAAAGTGAAGTAATTTCACTCGTCAAACTTTTGTTCTATGCCCATTGTCAGAATATTACAAAAACATCCAGCTTTATCTGCCAGACTTTTGATAGCGGATTTAACATCTTTTTTACAGCGAATACGTATGTTTTATGAAGTTTTAAGAACAGTTATTCAAGCAAGAACTTTTAATCAACTGATGCCATTGTGTAAAAGATTCAATGCTAAAATAATGAACGTAATTTTAAGTAAATGTATTAGTTTTTATCAAAAACCTTTTTGATTAATGAGGGCTGAGTGGGCACTTTACAGTATATTCCACTATCGGATAACTTTCCCGGCTCGGTAAACCTCTAATCATGTTATGAATGCAGTCAAACGATTAGGGGGATTCATTTGTCAAAGTTAACCGCGCTGATCGTCCATTTGGAAATAGACTGCGTTAAAACCCCTCAAATCTGACTGTGCGAGTTGGCAGAGTAGCGTCATTGCTGTAATGTTTCATGCCAACTGGGACGAACTAAATGTACAAACTGTGAAACTTTGATGGTGATACAAATGTTGTGTCTTAGATGATATAAATCTAAGCTTAGCTTAGATGATAACTGTAATTGAAGTTGTGAAATCTAACTGTGAAAATACCAAGACATTATTATTGTTGAGAAAATAAACGTGTGTATTTCGTGTATCAAATCCACAATCCTTTCTCCTTGACTTTTTCTCGCTCCAAACTAGCGTAGAATGCTTTTAAACGTATAGACGTATTATGTGGAGGTGATTTCAAGAGTCATCTTATAAATGGAATGGCAGTGCCGCAATGTCAGCCGCTGTACGTTTGCGGAGACGCGTTCGATGGGCGCGGGAAATAGCTTGTGCGACTCAGATATTGGCTGAATAACTTGATGTGATTTTTGTATCAATAGAAAAATATTGTATTTTCTTTTACAGCTTGATGGGATTCAATAATTACATTCCTTGGTAAAGTCAAACTTTCATGAGAGCAGATACACGGATCGGACTTTTGTTTGACATTTTGAATCTTTACTAGTATGGTCACCACAAATTGCAAAGCAACTATAAGTTGCGAAGACTAGTGTGACGGTCCGGCCATTCGAGTTTCTTTCGAGCTATGACGGTCACTTTTTCGCCAACATAATATGTAAGAACTACTAAAAATCTTGTGTTACTGTCAATTAGGTTTAAGGATTCAAATTCTGCATGTATTCTGCATTTAGAGAAGATGACTTACCGTTCTGCATAGCAACGCTCTTGTCCTCAACCCTGCTGACGTAGCAGCACAGCTCGTCCTGCCTCTCAGCGTTCTCGATGAGCTCGGCCTCCACGCTGAAGCCCCACATTTGCTCGAGGGTGGTTCGCTGGAGTTCCACCTGGTACAGGATCTTGGCGCACACCTCCACCACTTCGTGTGTGTGCAACTGCATCAAGGTAATAAAAAAAATAATCAACATCTAAAAACACTTGTTTAAACATTGTACCTAAGTGAAAATCGAGCACCAAACCAGTCCTGTTCATCTCCGCGAGTTTACATCGAAAACAAAACACGCACGATGGCCCACCTACAGGATACTATTCGACAAGGCCTCACATACGAGCGAACATTAACTCACGCACGCGTATTCTTGTGTATGATGGAAGAATATAAAGAAAATGGTGTACTAAATACTGTGCAGTACTTAACTGCCTAAATAATAATAAAAACACAGAATGTACTTTTTTAAGTTGCCTCAAGACACTGAAAGGTAAATAAGTAGTTAATATTATTCATGATAATTCACGCTAAATCATAATTATATTTCCTCCGCCATTTTCCGCAGTTTGGCACCTCACGTCTCATCATTTTACCGAAGTCAGCCCTATAGCTTCGGCGCAGTGCCGATCACTGACGTTTGTCAACAAAATGGTGCTTGACTCTTGAGACAGGCTAAATTACACCATATTGTTAATGACATTGAGCATACATTTTTTTAAATACCTTCGCGAAGTAAAACTTCTGTACGTAGTACTTATTATTATTCTATGACCAAACTAACGAGGGATCGTTGAGGGTAGAATACCCTTCAACAAGGTCGAAGCTAGCGAGAAAATAATTGTCAAATATAGCAGTCATAGCTAAATTACACCCCTAATTAGGATGTCAGAAAAACTTTCTTTCGTCTAATTGAAATACTTCGAGTGTAATGTCCCGATTTTTTCGTTAGTGGCGTTCAAAAGACTATTTTTGCAAGACTCTACTTTTAAATTACTAACTTGAGTTTGACTTTTAGCTACCTAATTCGAACAAGAACTTCAAACAAGAATTCAACTTAAGATCTCACAAACTAATCGGTTTTTCCAGACAATGATTTATGTCTTACAGGCTATTGTACTAATCCTTACGATGAGGGAGGGAGAATGCGGGAAGTTACATCATTTCTTCACAGAAAAATCCGATGGACGATAAAGGAAAATAAAAGAAAGATTTATAACATAATTCTATGTCCTCATTAATGAACTTGATTTCTTTGCGTCAAGAGATCGTCCCTCATTTAANATGGGTTAAGAGCCGTCAACTATGTGGTATAATCATATCTGACGTATTATGTATCTACCTTATCTTATTAAATAAGTAGGTACATACTTTGTAAGCTAAGCAAGAACGGTGTAACGTTGTAATTCTACCATTATGATTATTATCAAATAGCAGGATCGCATGACTTAGTTCATTTTGTGTTCCAAGACTAGCTAAAAATATAAGTATGTATCATTTATTACATCGTTGGTAGAGTATACTCGTAGCAACATTTTGGGTGGAATTGTACCCAGAATTATCTGGCACTGCAATTAAATTCCTTCGGTCCATAATCGCTTTATTAAAATCATTAATATTTTTAAAACGGCCTGATGATAACCTTTTAATTTAACGAGCGGGCATTTTGCACAACAACTGGAATGACACGGTTAGCGCGTGACTCCGAAAGAGGGAAAATTGTTCAGAAATCTCATTAATTAACTCCTTTAGTTAAACTCGAACTGGGAGTTAAATGCAATTCACTTTTTTTCATCGGCCCCCAATTAGTATCAAGGATTACTTTCCTGTCATTAAAGTTATCACTTTTCCATGTAAAAGCAAACACGAAATATTAGGGTTTCCATGAAATTGAAAATGGAAGTTTTTATTTTATTGGTGCGGATATCAATTAATTCTTCTTAGAGATACTGGTTTTTTATATGTTTGTATACATGGAACAGTCGTACACTCACAACAAACCTTAATTATTTCTTTTCAGAGATAAAATAACTCCATTTCCATGTTTAAATTATATGAGAAACTTCCTTCATTTGTTTATACCCGGATGAGAATTAAAGAATGTAGGTATATCTTTTATCGTACCTACCTACTTATTACATACAGATATTAATTTAAACTCAAATTAAGCATGTTTAAATATACTCGTACCTACTTATCTTAAATGTTGATAGCATAAATAAAATACTTGTTTCCTATTTAAAACACTGGAACCAATGTAGCGCACATTGCAGCGTGTTTCGTTACACGTAATGGACCATGCATGTTTTAATTAACGGTCGTATGTATATTTATCTCAGTGATGCGAACATTTTCCATCGAGAATTTACCTACATAGTAGAATTACTTTTGATACTTTTTATGTTACGAGTAAAAATGAAACAGTTTTCATTTTTACTCGCGATAACATAATTCAACAAAGGAACTTAATAATATGTTCCTATTATTTAAATAAAATTAAGTCATTTGTAAAAAAAAAATCGGATACTTCTACTAATAGATATCCCAAGACTTGCCTAATAATGGAAAAATGATTACAATATGCCGCAAAAATCAAAGTGCTTTTAAATTGGTCAAAACTTAAAAGGGGACGCCATTGTAAGCCATTTTAAAATGAATTACTTGCGAGTAATTAATTAATGGCTTACGATTTAAAAAATGGCCTTCAAACAAAACGGCTTTTCACCAGTAAATTAATTTGAAAGAATTTTCCCTTACCTTTTATTTTGATGTGTAACTGAGGTGTGTATTGCAAAGCTAAGTTAAATAAAGACTGGTATAAATGTTTGCCCTTTGCTCGAACTCAATATGGCATTCGATTGACTTTTCACATATCGGCAAAATGTCAATAGGTTCGTAAATTATGGACGTGGTCGACAGGATTGGATGTATAGCATTGTAGAGCCGGGGTTCGTTGACAGCGGTAGGGTAATGTGAAATATACAGTCATGATCACTTGAAGGAGATAAACTGACAGTTTGTCCACATGGTGCGAGGGAGGTCGAAAATTGATGATAGGGATTAGACCACGGCCCTCCGCCGGGTTTACGCCGGATAGTTGGGCGTTCTCGCCCCGACATAATGGCCGACTTGACTCGCTAAAGATAAATTCTGCTTTACTGCGGTCAGGTTAACAACAACATTTTTAACCGAGATAAGTCCCAAGACACAAATACGACTTCTGCATCGCAATAAAACGCGATAAACGCCTAAAGTTTCGACATCGAAGGAAAGTTTTATGACAGCACGCAACTGTATATTATTATATCTACACAAAGGAAGCCTCGTCTCAAAAAAATATAAAAGTGCTATAGTTTCATAATGTCGAAAAAAGTATGTAACTTCAACAGTCGATCCACTCTAAAGAATAGTACCGCTTTTCAAGGTACAATAAATCCAAATCAAAGGGAATCTTTTTCTGTCAGACCTCAATCAAAGGCAAATCTCGACGCACTGAAATACTACTCGTAGTAGTCTATCTCGAAATCAACGAAGAGCACTCGCTACCATGTCCGCTGGAATGCTAAGTTAAATATTGAACTTTTTATTGACTTAGTAAATGAAGTAAAAATAACTTGCTCAGAGGAATTTTACATTCCTTCCTCGTTGTTTTAGCAACAGCGGCAGAACTTTGTGATAGCCCTCTGCAGTCCAGCATATACAATCTGTGACGCAGCGGAGGTACTCGCTGTCAGACCCTTCTCACCGGAATCTCGGTCACAAAACATTTATATTTTTACATTGACTTGCTTCCGTGAATGTTCTTTGGGAGGGTTTAATTAAAAAAATTGCGGCACGTTCTGCCCTGTGTTTCGCTTAATATTGTAATTTAACACGCACCGCGGCGGAACATTCCGCGTTGTCTCCAGGTTTCTCTACAAAATGCTAATTTTGCGCTTTTTTAAAGAAATCGCTCCACAGGGGTTTTGTCGACTACAAGGCACCGTCATTAACTTAATTACTCGCCCTGTTTTCAGAGAGACGGTATCGTTACGATCACTCTACTAATTCTCTATTTAGTCGAATTTAACATGCCAGCTTAAGCGTTCATGATCATAAATTTAAACTCATTTGTTTCAATTAACTGAACAAAGTACTACGTATACTCGCCTACAGTTTTTTTTTTAAATATTTGTGTGGATGCTGTGAAACATTATTATGATATTGCGTGTTTAATAACATTTTGCCTCAGTAACTATAGTAAATTTGTTTGTTGTTGGTCAATTATTGGTGTTAGGACCACTTTATGACAACGATATCAATCTTCACACAACAAGGGATGGATGGCAGGTGTTTACCGCTTATCTACGGAGATAAATTTGTGTACCGTGGCCATGTGCATACTTTATTGAGCACTTCGAGGGTGGCACAAAATGCCAGTCAATATTATTGATGTGTGTTTAATGTTTAATAAATATCCACTATCCCTATTTCCTGTACAACCCTCGCTCATACTTTTCAATTTTATCTACTGTAATATGCAATGTGTTTTTTTTGTATAAAGGAGTGGAAAGTTCGTTTTATGTTCAATCTTTCAGTTTGAACAAACTAACCGAGTAACAGCGCTGCCTTTTGGTTCTAGTTTTAGGAAAGGATTAAGTTATTCATCTGCTTTTACAGACTTTTAAATACTTTAATTGGAAGTCTTCAAATTGATTTAAACATTCGTTGTGAAGAACTTTATTGCAACAGTCAAGAGGGTTCCCAAGTGTCTTATGGCGAGTCATCCTGCCACCATAAATCTTTTGAAAACCCTACAATATCTATAATATACCTATTCGCGATGTTCTCCTTTATTGAAACATGAACCTTCAGTTCATATACTTTTATCCTGAACAAATGTCCATGGGATATATACAAATAATTTGTTATATATGAGGACTTTGTTAAAAAAAATCTTAGACAAATTAGGCTGAGCATCGTGTCGTGTGGTTAATTCATACAAGATTAAGGCTGGGTTGCACCATCTTACTTTAACATTGACAAACGTCAAAAATCTGTCAAACTCCATACAAAAAGCACCGGTTATTGTTAAAGTTACGGGTATAATAAATGTTAGTGCAACTTTTAGGAAGATTTACTCTATTAAGGCTGAGTTGCACCACCTAACTTTGACCGTAACTATGACGACAACCGGTGTTTTTTGTATGGAATTTGACAGATTTTTGACGTTTGTCAAAGTTAAAATAAGATGGTGCAGCCCAGCCTAAGGCGAAGTTGCACCATCAAACTTTGACTGTAACTATAACGATAACCGGTGATTTTTGTATGGAGTTTGACAGATTTTTGACGTTAGTTACAGTCCAAGTAAGATGGTGCAACCCAGCCTAAATGTAGATTAAAGCATTTTTCTTTTATCGTGATTCCTATTTAATTAGCAAAGGAGAACACAATCCTGGTATTAGACTTTGTGAGATTCTATAGGCGTCTACTAAGGCTTGATTGAATCAAAGGCTCGACGAACACGAAGGACGGAATCATATTTAAAAAAGTAATGTTACAGTAATAGTTGTAGTACTCGATCGCATTTTGATACACAAATTCGCCTAAACGACCGCGATAAAATTCGCATTCGTTTCTTGTGCCTGTTGTAGGTAAAAAGATATGAAGCTAGACCCTTCTTAATATGCAATAGTGATTATTTTATCATATTATGGCGATTGTTGTGCTTTTGCAATGCTTTTAAAACTGCTGCAATAGGAGAATTGATTTGAAGCTATGCAAATAAAAAATATCGGTACTTCAGCATCTTTGATTCGATTTCTTTCATTCATTATGGAATTTAAAAACGATTTCCTTGAAGCCAGGTGCAAAAGGGATATTAATCATTGTTGCAGTGGACTGAAAATGGAGTGAAAACTTACGTAAGTCTCGATGAGATCGCTGCGGTGAGGCACGAAGTAGTTATGGTCTTCCATGTCCCGGCGTTTCTTGACGCGCACGAAGTGCTCCAACGCGTTGAGCGATCGGCGCGCGCAAGCTGCAGCCAGGAATTCTTCCACCGACATGCCTTCACGCACTCCCACCGTAGCCGTGGTGCCCTCGGGAAGAGACACGCGGACAGCCGCCTCGCCGTCGTCGCGCGACATCTGGAGGAGTGGTTTTGTTTTATTGTACTGTTGACAGCACATCAGAGTAATATTTTCGTTGCAAGAGCATAGCAATCGTAGACATGACTGTCTTCGAATGCGCATCTACTGTTGAGTTGCTTATTCTCAAAGGGACCAGAAACGAAATTCCTTTAATCCAATGATAGGTACCTAAGAGATTTAAAAACACTTTGTAGGTTTTTTACAAAAACAGGAGATAAATAATGGTTAGTTTTTAAATCAATTAAAGTTTTGGTAGCTAATAATTCATGTGAAAAAAAATAAATGCCTGAAGAATTCCGTTTGCGGAGAAATATTTGTATATCGGTGTATCACATTTCCGAAAAGAATTTTGTTCAATGCTCTGAACACGAAAGTCCAGCCCGTTAAATATTTGATACACAAATTACAGCTTGCAGCGTAAAAGCTCGCTGAATTCAGGATTAATTCCGGGTAAACACTTTTTGCACAAAACAAACGTCAATATCAATCCGTAGATTGTGTCCGTTCGATCTAGGATTAAATGTTACGAAGCTTATTTATAAATCTGATACGTTTTTCATTCCAAAATGGGTGAATTGAATTAACGACAGAGTTTTAAATTTAAGCAACCTCCATGCCCTCCTCCATTTAGTATCACGTTCTCACAACCCGCATAGATTACGAGTTAACTCGAGATATCCTTTAGCTCCAAAGTCTTAGAGGTAGCTGGAGGGTGTAGAGCAAGCGTACTTCATAATTGTTAATACGATAAACTAAGAACTTAACTGAGTTTCTTGTTTCTGTGTGAAGGCTAGGCACGGCTAACAGCCTACGCCTACACTTTTGTTTTGATGCATAATTTAACATAAGTAATCAGACTATATTGCTTTCAGATCTCTCTCGGTCGAGTTCACACAGTAAAACAATTTATTCAAATCAAATGCCACAAATAAGAAACAAGTTATTCAGGAAACGAACTTTTGTATCGATATTGATTTTGGGATGTTGACTTATTCAGTTCAGGGCATGCTGATTTGTGCTTATAAATATGTAAAGGTGTTCCGTTGTATCGACTGATGCGGGCAGCCGTAGATATACAGTTAGTTAAAATGTTAAGTGGCTATCGGCAGTTTATACTCTGTAATCTTCTTGAGTAGTAGACTGATTTGAATTTCAATTACTTACTAAAGTAAATAATCGTTGAGATCTTTTGAAATATTATATCGATGTTTTGGCTGACGAGTGATCCGAGCATAACAAAGGTGGGATAGCGAAAACGAATGTTGCAAAAGCATACAAAGGGATCACCGGAGTACAATACGGGTTTTCAAGAGACATTGGTCATTTTCAAGGTCAGCTGGTAGAGAATGACGTATGGCATTAAGCTCGCCTTTTTGTACAGAACATTGTTGTGTGTGCAATAAAGTCTTTAAATAAATAAATAAATTGGTATTTCGAAAATAAATCAAAACTTTATTGGCAAAGACATATTCAAAATAAATGCGACAAAGCTTTGGGAGAGAAAATAACAGGAATTCTACTCTAATATGCTTACGGAGTTTCTAAAACTTAAGGCACTTAATGACTAGCAATCGGTACCATCCAACGGCCTGCGATTAATAGTGTCTTTTCGTGACAGAAATACCTTCGAGCCAGATTAGGGACCGCGCCACGCTACTTTGGCATTTCCAATTTGATTTTAGCTCACTAATTGAACGTGGCGTCCGGACAACTCCCAGCGAAGTACCTACCCACTTGTGACGGTGTATCCTGGCAAATAACGTAACAAAAGATTCAAGAATTTCACTGTAAACTGCTACAACCTTTTAAAAACATTTAAAAGGTTGGACTTACTATTCAATTCATAAATTAATTACTCCTGTCTTTGATTGAACTTGACCTTTCATTAATACATATTCAACACTGAAACATATTTATTAGAAATGGTTACCGAGTCTTCAGAATTTACCTGAAATAATTATTTTTAAGAAACTAACTAGTATTGATACACATATTTTATTAATTGTTCATTGATCTCCATCATCTCTCCCATTGTGTCGAGTGTAGAATTAAAGTATTTGAAGCAATAAAAAANATAAAATATTATATTACTTTTTGATATTCGTGATCCCAAACGAAATTCCTCAATTGAGATTGGAATTACTTTTCAAAATCCCGACAATCTCGGGTCGAGAATTCCGATACCCGGATTTTACAGTTGGTTTCCCAGGGGACTATCAACATGTGCTCCAGATACACGGGGTTGGTAACGTCTCACTTCTTCAAGATAATCCCTGGATGATTGCAAACATATTAAGAAATTTTAATAGTCTGTGAAACGAAGTTCATGGAATTTTCCATTAAGGTAATAATATTGGAAGCCTATAAATTTTCTCGGTACCAAGAAATGAGTTTAAACAGTCGTGTTGTTGGAGGAGACTGATTTATTACATTCGTGGACTGGGTTTTGATAAAAAGGGCATCCGTACGCTTTAAAATATCGTATACCTAAACTTTTAAGCCAGGCTATCTAGCTCGTCGTGTCAGCTTACTTGCAGATTGTGATTTCGCATCACAGCCCGGATCCGATTGGATGGGCTACGAGTGGACGTGACGTGATTTCTCAATCGCAAATTGTTTACACCGATTTGATTTTCATGCAGGAAGTCTTTTACAGAGCTGCGCGTAAGCTTGAACACGGTCCGTCGGCGTATATCCGATCCCGATGGGAATATTTCGCTATCGCTGTTTCATACTTTGACCCTACATTTTTTGTGCATAACACAAACATTTAAAAACAAATTTCCCGGAGTACTTACTGTAGGCACGGTAATACCTACCGTGCTGTAGGAAAGTATTCTGGTCACGTGGTGTGTTTGATCACCTGATCCTAATTACTTTCTTTAGAAATTAAATGAAAAAGGTACATTTACTAAATTATTATGTACATTTTTGGTACTATACACAAACTTTTCTTTTAATAAATGCAATAGGGCTATGACTTATACAAATACTCTTTGGAGTTTCTAGAAAATGGAAGTCAGTAGTAGAAATTAAAATAAGTTCAAATATTACACATCATCTATATATATAAAAGAAAGTCGTGTTAGTTAATTCGCTTATAACTCAAGAACGGCTGAACCGATTTAGCTGAAAATTGTCAGGGAGGTAGTTTAGAGCCAGGAGAAGGACATAGGATACTTTTTATCCCGTTCGAAATTAAAAAAAAAGTCTGCTTATTTATTGCCATTAAGGCGGAACAAAGTTCGCCGGGTCAGCTAGTTATTATTAAAAGGGTATTAATGTATGATTCGGTTCTCGAGCGGAAATTATTAATTCAAAGTAATAATTTCACGTATTATTTACTGCGAAATCAAATACTACTGACCGGATAAGCTTTTAGCTCGTAATGAATTGCAGCGAATCCTTTGACGGTCTTCAATATTAAATTATGGAGTAATTAATAAGCAGAATTGTACGCTATTATGATAAATCGCAAAGAGTAATAGGTATATTGGATTACAATGGATTAATTGGCTTTAGGCGTGGTTTCTAGTATATTGTAGATTAAAATTATGCTTGTGACCTACCTACTAGAATTAATAGACAGACAGAAAAAACCTGTGTACTACTTGTGGACTCTTGCGACTACGTTCGTGTGCCTTCAAAACTTTGATCGCACATTTTTCTGCTTTAATATGGGATTTCAAACACTACAACATCTTTTTACTGCTATTTACAGTCAAAATATCTAAAAAGGTTTCTTTGAAATGTCTTGGTGATTGGACTAACCTGCATAGATCGCCTGCTGGACCCAGAGTTGGATCGGGAAAGGTTGGGCGCCCGCCGTTTTGTGGCACCACGGCCAGCCAGCAAATTGTTGAGGAGCGACGGCGAGCGAGCGCAGATGAACGCGTGGAAAGACGACACGGTGAACACGCCCAGCTTGTTCAGGGTACTCTTCGTACCACGGGACACGTGTGTGAGGAGACTCTGCAAAAAACCCCTCCTTTAGCACATCTCATTAAATTTACAATTCAAGTAAGCCTCTTAACACCCCAAAACAGGACGACCTTCACTCAAGTCTGGCATTAAGGGGCATGCCCTCCAAATACACATNAATACATTATAGCCCAAAAAGAATTTACCCTAAGCCGACATATGCAAAAAGCCCCAGTTTAATGACTCACGCCAAATTGAGTTTATTCTAAAAATAGCAGGTAAAGGCGAAAGGATATTGGAATATCCGTTGATCAAACCTATTTCCGAGAAAATCGTAGACAATTTCATTATTCGTGTGTTGGGAAGCCATTTATGACGTGTCGTGACATGGGTCGCGTGACGTAACAGATTCTGGCCCCAGCCGGGAGGCGGGAGGTCAGCGGAACTGTCAATTTGATAGCGGTACCACAAATTTCCTTTCTCAGTAGCCTTGATGAAATCATTTCACGATTGACGCACCCTCGCCTTATTCCCGCGTGATAAATTATAGATTCCCATATTACCGGAAGTCATTATTGGCGAGGCGATTGTGCGAAACGTCGGGTATAATAAAATAAGTCGACTGATAAGTCCGAAGACGGGATAAAGATGGGAAGATAATTATTTGGAAGTTGTTAAACTAGACTTATTTTTTCCCGTCCATCATATCGCTCGGCAGAAGTATCGATTTGTCGACTGAAGTTGAATTGGGAGCAATCTTTTCATGCAGCATTTGGGGAAATCTCATAATTAGAAGAATAATTTCGACGACTCTAAAAATAACAAATTGTTCTAATAACTTACCTTGGGATTAGGAAGTTCGCCACTCTGAAGACTGGCCATGTAGCACCTGAGACGGAACTGTTCACAGTGCAGCCTCTCAAGATTCTCTTCCCACTGTAACATCTGCACCGCGAGTTGCGCACGCGTCTCTGGGTCTGATACCACGGACTGCTGCAGGTCGGCCATATGTTTTAGCTTGTGATCCTGTATGGAGTTAATGGTTATTTAGTGACGTTAGATCTTCCATTTTTCACGGTAAACCTTAATGGTATGTGATATCCCATGGACAAAAGGTTCATTCTCTATTCTTTATTACTATGTAACTTACATTACAACTTATATGAGGGTGTTAAAGGTACTTAAAGGTACAATTTATTCGTAAATAAACGTGATCATTCGACTGTAATTTAACAAGAAAATTCTAAATAGGTATAGGAAAAACAGGAAAATATAATAAAATTTCAGCTTCTATTTCACTTCCTTCTGAGTAGGTATTGCGGAATAATGGTATTTTAAGAACCTTATTAATAGTAAATACAAACTTCACAGCTTTTACAAAAATAACCGCAAGTAGGTAGGTAAGTAAGTTGCTAACGAAAAAATCTATACATAGTACATGAAAATGTATCTGTTTTCGACGGATATTTCAAAAACGTGATGTCGAAACAATCCAAGCATCAGCCAAACGGGTTCGCTGAAAAAATACTCGTTTCAAAACTAACTTTCAAACTCAGTGAAACTATCACGGGCTTAATTACGCAACAATGCAAACCATTTCAGACTAGAAGGCTAGGGATCCCGTTATTCACAGTCACCACTAGTGTTGAAAATGACTATAGTTGCGGAATTAGACTAACCGTCGTTTACAGCCAAATTGGTCAAAAACTGGTCATTAAAGGTCAAAAATGATCATATTAAATCAGTTTGATTTCAGTAAATGTTTAGTACCTACTTCCATATTGAATCAAAAAAGTGGTTTTTAATTATTACAATTAAACATTTACCATTTCTAAATTGAAAAAATAAGTACATCTCGATCAGTGCACTAATATGCGAAATGGGAATGTTGCATCGCCCCGTATGTTAACTTTGATGCCGTCTTATTCTCTCATAATTAAAAAATAGTTTTATTTTTTAATTATGATCTTTAATTTAAAATTGCATGTTTGGTACACTAATATTTGAGTCAAATTGACTAAATTTGACTGTTAATGACCGATTATTTATGGTTTATGACAGCCGTGACCGTTCAGATTCAGTCATTTTACATCTCTAATCACCACTCGTCAGTGGTGTCCAACTTTTCGTTGAAACATTGATCAGGCATGCGTTCCTTGTAACTTGTTTTGAATATCCCGACACTCGGACGCGGGTTGACGTCCCCATGAATATTAATAGGCGCGTGCCCACCTGCCTGCGATAACTATCGCGCGTGATAAAATAGATTGTTTCTAACTACGACCATGTGGTCCCACCTTAATTACGCTACTTTGAATTTTGCTGCAGAATTTAAATTCGTTTACCTCAACTTTGTTCGTAACTTCGTTATCATTTCGATATGGTATTGGTCTGTATTTACGTGGCTAGTTAGTGTGGTTGCGTTGTAGTTGTAGTGCCCTCAAAGGCTTTGATTCGCGTTGCGGTCAGTCTCCACGAACTAGTATCGACGAGGATTGATTATGTGCAAGTAACAATGCCGGCAATATGTCTTTGTTTTATGAATGTTCCATTGAGTTAGTGCAGTCTACTATAAGTAGGATGCTTTACAGTTCCTAAAGCCATTTAAAATTCTTGATTGCTGTTTTATTATTGAGTCGATAGTGATTATAGTAAAGTATTTGTAAAGTGTTAAAACGTTTAATTTTAAATAAAATCTTTAGCAAATAGTGCCCCTTGCCGTATTTAAGAACTCTCTAGTAGTAGTAATTGTTCACAGTTGTGAAAGACAGGATTCAATGACAGCTGGTACTTACAAGTGCCTCTATGGATAGCTAACCCAGACCATTTTAAATTATATTGTGTAAAAGAAAATTATCGCCATACTAAGCAATCTGTTAATGTTGTCTCAACATTGTTGTTATATCGACAAAAAGTCTGCATTGTTCGTATCAATATGCCGCACAGCAGTTATCTTATTAGAGTTTTCCTCATACACCGGGTAGTTTCACGTATCACGGCCGCAAGAGCTCTGAAGCGTGCTAAGGTCACTTAGGGCGGGCCCGAAATTGGTGTGATTTCCTCCACACAACGTCTGTTTCGAATTATGTAATAAAGTTATACAACTTTCTTTATCAGAATACGTGTGTAACTTCGTAGGTGTACTTCGGCGGTTTTCCTCGATTGTTTCGAATGGAACTATACCTACTTTAAACAAAGTTGCCGACGACCCGGGAAAGTAAGTACCTAGTTGTAAATACTTGTCATTGTTAAATGCCGTTTCGAATTAGATAGGACGTGTCGGTTTCCCTTATTTACACCGGGTAGTTAGCGCGGTCGACGAGGCATGTATGGTGTGCGGTGGATGTGTTGTAGATGGCTGTAGGTAGCGGCCACAAAGGCTTTGATGCGTGCTGCGGTCACCCGGCGGGGTCGAAATTGGCGCGATTTGCTACCGACCGCACAAGGCCTGCGTTGCGATGGCTATATTATGCCTATCACGTCTTTGAGGGCACTTGCGTTTGACGAATGCTTCAGTTAATTTAACTATTCAGTCGGATAACTTGATTAAGGTCCTGTAATTTAATCTGTAACCTGGATAGAAGGACCAACATAAGTGGATATAAGGTCTAGTATAAATCCACTTGAAACAAACGAATGTATTTAAGATATGTGGATCAAGAGACATGGTATGTATTTACATTGTTTAAGAAGTACTTTATTCTTAAAAATATATAAAGTTCTTTACTACTTCACGCATAAGCAATTGAGCATATTTTTTTCGGATTACCACACCCACATCATGTATATCTAATGAAAAACATAAATAAGTATTATTACAGGTATCTGATAATCCTCAATAATACACGATAATACATTATTAAATTACATCGGTACTAGTACTTGATTAATGGATGGTTCCAATTAACAAAAGCACTATAGCGAGAAAATGAACGGCTGCCTGTATCAATGGATTAATCAGTAAAACTAATTAGGTAAATATGCGCTCGATTTATTAAAATATTAATCATGAAAATAACAGATAACGTTGGTTTCCACCTTATTGTGTTATCTGTGTATGATTTGTGATACCTATGTAAATTACCCTGCTGGAGTGCTGGAAATAGAACTGGAATAGGAATCGTTATCTGATGGAATGCGTTCGATACGAGGCCGCGATCTAATCTCGAGAGTTGCATAAGCGATTGTGACGCTCTACATAGGATCATGTAAATTTTCTTCCCGTCCTGTTTTGATGGAACGAAACCTTATTTTGCCGCTGTACTTGCAAATTTTATTAAAATGAACGTGGATGCGACAGCAATTTTTGGTGAGGGAGGGGGTCGAAAGAAGTTCTCGCCCGTAAACATATTCACGACGAGCTTGGTACAAGCAATAAATTTATCTGCATAAATGGGGAATGCTTTTCGCCTCGCTACGTTGTACTCGAAGGTTTATGGCGTGCAATGAGAAACGGGGAACATTTGAAATTGACCCTTGCGAGGTTGGCATAGAGTCGAGCGTCGTGAAGAGATAGATTTGCAAAGGTAGTTAGAGATTCGTGCCAGTCAAACAATGCCTCTGTTAGTTCAGACCGATGCGCGATGCGCAGCAGTTAGGGTCGAGCTGTGCATAATATCTCAGTGAGTATTCTTGTTTCAGCACGTTTTCATTTCCAGCTATATTGACTTTGGCTCAAATTGTTAGTGACGATAAACTATGACGAACTCATACCAACATAATAACGGAACAGTAATAATGGCATGTGTAACTTTGGATAGTGAGAATTGTAAACCAAGTTCATATAACTTTATTACATACACTTATTGTTATCGCCTGGTTATCGAAATATAATCCAAGCTTACAAATTAATAGATCTCGGATATTGGAACACAATAAAAATAAACTTTAAGAATCCTTTCGATCTTTCCAGAAGTTAAAAGTAAATACCGATGGATTAGCAATGTTGGAAAAATATGAAGTTAAATAAACTTTTCCTATTTCGAACTTCCACGATGATTACAGCAAATGTTTATAAAAAGTAAAGTACTCACAGATTCGATGGCTTTCTCGAGGCGGTATATTTCTTCCTGGAGCAGATGAAGTGTCCCAGTTTTCCCGCGGTGGCGAGCGAATGCCGCGGCGCAGGCACTATGTATACTGTTCACCCAATTTTCCAACTCCACCTACGGAAATAACTCTATCATAGTGCAGCAATACATTGCTCCGATGGGAATTGTACAATCTGTTGGTTGGCTGGTTAGTTGTACAACAGTTTAAACTGACGTACCAAATGTGGAATAGGTAAATACTTCCAAACCACGGCAATAGTTTTAAACTATCAAGTTTAGTGTAAAGGGGAACGGGAATGCATTGCCTAACTAGCCATTGACGTCAAAGTTGACTGAGCATGGGAGATATAACTTCGACCGCTCTGCCCAAAGTTTTGAACCACGGCAAATATAGCGAGCAATATCATTACTAAGTTAAATTTAATACCAATAATACAAAAAGTTTCAGAGCAAAATAAGTTAAACAGGAATGTGGCTTTAAATGATTTCAGTTTGTATCTCAGAAAAGATAATTATAATATGTATGCTGCTTTAACTCAGTTTCAGAGAATTTGTATAATATTTTATACATCTGATTCTAAAAATCATGGTATCACTTTGGTGGAAATACATTTTATTGTTCCATCTGTCTTCCAAACAAATAAATTTATTTCAAGCATGAATCTTTGATGTCAAATATGAGTTGGGCCTATTTCATCGCTTGCTAATAAAGTGCCTGATAGCTTAAATTATCATAACGTATCTGCCAGATTAACTTAACATTTTTGTTAAACAAATCCAGAGTTAGAGACAAATAAATATCTGGCTTAACTTAAGACACCGGTAAATTGTACTGTATTTGTAAACCGTTACATGTCAGCTGTCTGAAACTTTATCCAAACCGGCGAAACTGACCCTCGATATTATTAAAAGTTGTGCTTACCTGACAAGGTGCCTGAAACAGGTAGGCGTCACCGAATGCGGTGCTCAGGCAGAAAATGTAGTCCCTTTTGGGGTGTTCTGGAATCGGCTGCATTATTGCTCCGTCGACTATGATCAGGTGCTTCGGTGCTGCTTCGACTGACCGGCCCTCGCGGGAATCGCACGGGTAGAAAAGGAGTGTGGTGCCTTTGAGGCAGACCCAGTAGCCTTTCCAGCCGCGCTTGCGGGCCAGCTCTATCTGATGCTTCTTGCGGAGCAACCACTTCTTCACGCTCAAAAATCTGTGCGGAGAATGAAATTTTCTTAAAGTTTATTTAATTTTATTGCGAGTAAATCATTGGTATATGTAAGATTGGTATAATTATGTAAAAGTATCTAACGAGTAGGTACCCATAACAAGTAACAACGGTCAATACTTAATCCAACTTATTTAAAGTGTGACAAATTAATAACGTTATTTATTGAAGTATTTCAATAAGAATTTTAATACGTAAACCCTGGATAAAATAAGTAGGATAATGTAATTATTTCATTTGTTTCCTATGAAACAATCTTCCTTGATTTTACTCGAAATTATTATAATAAGAATTAAAATCAAGGGTTTCACTCTGGTTTCAGCTCAGTTTCAAATTCGATGTATTTACGCGGAAAATTGTTTAAATAACAGATGTGTTACGTTGATTACTAAATTACAGTAATTGAATCTACTTGAAACTGAATTAAATGAACCAACACCTAACCGATTGCGTAAATACTAATATGTTCATACATAAAATTAGCGCTATCTAAACAATTAATCAAATAACAATACCCGATTGTGAAACTAAGGTAAGAGTAATTAATTTACTGACAAAACACACCCTAAGCATCTGTTCTTATTCATGAAGGAGAGGAAATGTAATGAAGAAATAACGAAAAGTAGGACAAATACGATTTTTATTCATTGTTTAGCATATTTTACAATGTTTAGCCGTATCGACAAATACTTATGTAAATCACGAAATATCAGCTCGTTAATTTCGTCTTTGATTCGTTCAATAGGACGTCCGTTCTTTTCAGATAGAATAAATTATTCGCTTTCTCGAGGATGCCAAAGTAAACTGCGAACATAACGGTCATGTCAATTTTCTTGTCGACATCACTTTTTCTGCAAGGCAGCACGAAGTGTTTCTTTATGAGGGACCGTATTTTGTGGATGGGGACTCCCCGCGTCCTTTTGCCAAGGATTTCCATCGCCCATATAATAACGTTCACCGGAGTTGGCGCTCGTTTTTGTCCTTTCTCCTTGGACACTTTGAAATCGGTTCTTACATGGAAAATTGTAGAAATTGATGATTCACTGTTAGACATAGTAAACGTGTGAACATTATGTGTTTGAAGCTGCTATAACATTGGATGAATCACCAATGTTTACTAAAATTTTTATCGTTTTGTGTACGACATCGTAAGATGTCAAAATTTGAAAAAGTGATATAATTTTGACATCGACTACGACGTAAACACCATAACTAATCTCACCATAATGCTATAAATAAATTTAGTGAAAAAGTACGTATTACATTTAATTAAAATTCTTGTTGATTAAATTATTGAAAACTACAACTACGCAAAAACTGTTTCAATTACCGTTTTTGTAGAAAAGATTTCGGGTTATAAAATAAGGTGATTCGCAAAAGCGATCTACAGTGGAGTACCTACGCCATTGCAATCACTTGATTACAAAGAGAGAGCTTACTTTGCTTTTTTAAACTTACCTTTAGTTTCAGCGTCAGTCTTGAAATTCCTTTAAAATTAAACGAAGAGCGGATTGCAAATAAAATTAGATAACCAGAAACCCTTGGAATAAATACAGCCAATATCTGATCATTATTCAACAAGTTGTATAAGTCGGTTGTTTCCATGATTATTGGAGAAACGAAATAGATAAAATTATCCTTTGGCATCCTTCGATACATAAATTCGAGTGTTTTATTGAAGTAACAAATTTTGGTAGCATTGAGCCGTTTTGCCTTTCATCAGTATTTTGGTAAGCTAAGTAAAAATTTGCATAAAGCTTACGCGTTATTACGCAAAATAATGTGGTAAATTTGCGGGATGAAAACTCTACGCAAAATACCTGCTATTTTTCAAACCAAATTGCGGGAAAATGCTTTGGCAAGCTGCAATGATCGTGTAGTCTGAAAATTTTAAATGACACTCATACATAAAACATATATTTTCCATATTATATAGGAAAAATCGGTAGGTAGGTTATTGTTTACCAATTGGGCGGGATATCCGTTATTTATTATGAGAAAGAGAAAATATACTCTTATAACATCAGAAGTATTAAAAGAAAATAGTATTTTTGCTGGAATGTGATTTATATCTTGATTTACTTTGCCATTATTCACGAAATTACAGCTTACTGGGCGTAAGGTAAAGAGAACAGCGATTAATCAAACCCCAGAATGAATGTCACGCATATATTATAGTACCCTTTAATGCACAAATTAATTACTAATCTGAATAAGCACGGTGAATAAGCTTGATTTATTAAAAGTTAGGCAACCGCTGAACTTACAGTTTACCGGGACGCTGACTCGCTTATATTAATTTAAGTTATAGAAAATTAATTGCCAATAGGACGAACAAACTTAATCAAAATTCCGACAAAAGGGCTTTCCCAGTTTGGGCTTTTAAGTCAAATCCAATACTCTATGTAAGTACTCTAGCGAGTCATGATAAAATAATTGATGTCGAACGTGGTTCAGTTAAAAGTATTTTATCTGAAAAGTTTGCGGAGCCTCGCTGAAGTGTCTCTCCCCCAGACTTCTCATACTTACCTGACTTTTACAACCCCGTTGAATGGGTCATGGCTAAGATTTCCCTCCGGTCATTTGGGATTCATGGAAGAGAAATTGTAGCCTCAAGGAACATAAAGGACGCCGTAAGCTTTTTCTAACAGAAACTCGTTGACGGTATACGACATCGCCTTTATTTCCTTCGGTTCTTGTTTCACTTACATTTATTTTAAATCTTCAGAGAGAGAAGAATTTTATTCAACTTTTTGTTTGCTTTCATACGAGCGTGAAAATGCACCAGGGCGTGGGGGATGGGATAATATTACCAAAGAGCCTTTTTTAAAAGCCATAATGGATAACCCATTATCTCGAATAATGTTGGTTGGTAGTTTTATCAATGCGGAGTTGATTTTATTCGTGGAGAATATTATTTAATTATCGGCAATAAATTCGTTATAGCGTGTCAGTTGGTCCCTGCCATATCCCATAATAATGTGATAAACAAGGGGACTCATGATCCTAGGGATACCCTCAAAGGAAAAGACAAATTAAAATAGGTCCTTCGAATGGACCATGTATTGTTATACGATGATTCTAATTCTAATGTATAGGCTATTGAAATTCTAATACGCTTTTGTGGAGGTATTTCAATATTTATACAGGTGACAGGGTAAATTGAACAAACCAATGTATGTAGGTATTATACGTTCACAATAGATAATTTAGATATTATGTGAAAAATTCAGCAAATCTACGATGTTCTGAAAAGGGTTTGAAAATTATGATTTATATCTTATTCAAACAGCTATGAAAAATACCTCTAGTGATTTCTACGAACGCATTCTAACTGAAATTGCACAATTTAGTCAATATTTAACTTAAAACTCTGAGCTTCAACTTATAAAAGCGAGTCTATAAAATATTACCTTGCGGGTTGTGAACAATATCTGCGGAATTTACAGTGGACTTTTTAATACTATTCGAAATACAGTCACCATTTAAAAGTTAAAAGTGTTCATAGGCTTTGATACTGAAAGTAGCATGCTGCGTTGAATCGCTATTGTGTTTCATCGTAAATGTGAATTTGGCTATAAAAGTTAAGTATTTAATTAAAGCTGGGCTGTGAATTGAGAATATTAAGTTGCTTGAGGTGTTACTATCGAAATAATAATAATAATATAGAAAGATGTTAACGTCCGTAATTTAAGTAATCATTAGTTCTTAGTACCTACGACAGCAAATCTGATTTACGACTTTTTGGTGTTATTACAGAATAATAGTATCTAAATATATAAAAGGAGAAACTGACTGACTGACTGACAGATCAACGCACAGCCTAAACGGCTAAACGTAGGCACTTGAAATTTAGAAGGGACGTAGCTTAGGTACCGTAGAGGTGCACTAAGAAAGGAATTCCCGAAATTCCCACGGGAACGGGAATTAGCGGGAAAAATGGAATTCACGCGTACGAAGTCGCGGGCGGCCGCTAGTATGAACATATTAGTACTTACCAACTTTGCTAAGTTCTAAAAGTTTCTAGACATCAATCCCTTAGAGAATAAGTAATTTTACACATTATTTTCTACAGTAGTAATGCTATTTAAAGTAACCTGTTGTTACTGTATTCTTTCATACTGGTATGTACCTACCTATATTCCTTGTATTAATTGTAAAGTAGACTAGAGGCAAAGCAAGGCCACACACAATATGGCAATATCTCGAAGATTCGCACTATTGCAATGTGTAGCCAAGTAGTCGCGTATATTTCGGTGCTTTTTTTCAATTTGAACTGTCAGAAGTACTACGCTGTCGCCCGAATTTTATCGCAATGTGTGTGGCCGAGAAGATGCAACTGCTGATGTGTAAATTCAGTGCCTTAAAAATAAGACTTACCCAGCTTTCCTGACGGCACCAGTGCAGTTGAAAGACGCGGCGGCGGCGCCGGTCTGCTTGCCCTTGTAGGGAGAGTTCATCGCGCTTTCGCCGGGGTCCTCTTCGTCCGACACTGCCGTCGTCAGCGACATGCGATCGTCATCCGATATCTACGACAATAATAAACATCATCAGGTCATTTGGTTTATATTGCAGGAGTCCGATAGTAAACATCATCAGATCATTTGGTCTGCAGGAGCAAGACTCTCTTTAATTCAGCAGCAAATTGAGGATTTGGCTTACACTCTCCAATTCTCCATGCTGCCTGACTAGTCGAGTTGGGGAGGGTGGATCTTCAAAAATAATACCCATTAAATTATCTGTGAATCTTTAGTACCTACATAAGTAACATTTCAAGCTTGTGTATCTCATCACAAAGTAACTTATACACATTTTTCTCAACGCTCTTAGTTGCTGAAAATATCTCTGATAGACGTTCAGAAACTTTTTGTGTCTCCGATATAAATATAATTATGTCAGCAACACTCTCATGCGGTGTGGGTTTCAATATTAAAAGGTAACTTAATATCCATTAATTAACCTTTAAGATCAGGTGACAAAACAAATAGACGGTCAAAGACAGGTCACGGTGTAGACAGGGAATAGACGGTCACGGTCATAATGTCTATGTTTATTAATGTACAAAAGAACATTATTTTAAATAACGATTTTAATAACAAAATAATAAAAATAATAACGATTTTTTTACTGAATCCTTGGGGGAGGCCTTTGTCCAGCAGTGGACGTCTTTCAGCTGAAACGAACGAACGAACTATTTTTTTATATTCGCTACTCAATATCTTTTGTGTTCGTAGTCAAACGCGATGGTTTTAACTTAAAGAAAGACTTCAGGGAATTAAGCTTGAGCTGAAAATAATCAAAATAATAATAAACGGAAATACAGCGATGCTACTAATTTAATTAGGTGCTTCATAATAACGTTCCTCTTTGCGCCCCTATTCAACACACCGAATAATTAAGTATTGATTTTAATGCCATCTGAAAGCGTACAATTTGCTCTATTAAATCCGTAGTTTGTTGGAATACGATTTCATAACAATTAGTTTTTCTCGGTAAGCTTTGTTCGTGTAATATTAAATTATAAATGTTATACGCGGCACAATTTATAGTAGCTATACTCGACATATCGTTAAACCTGTATTGATACTGTATGTGTATGTGTATGTACAGTCAGCGTCATATACTTCGTGACACCCAAAGTAGCTAAAAAGTTGACAACACAACCATTCCAATTGACTTGGCCGAAAATCTTTATATGGACCCCAACACCTATGTCCATACACGATCTCTTCTGCCTACATATAACAGCTTGCAGGAGTTCACTAAGATCGTTCGGCCAAATTTCGCGAGTGTTAACCAATCACGGTTATCACAAATCATATTTGCACCGCTTTCACATCGTCGCCGATGAGAATTGTCCCTATGACCAAACCTCTCAAACGTGGAAGCACCTATTAACACAATGTCCCCGATTTGTAATACAACGACAAAATCACGAAATTACTTCCTCCATGCTCAATGTCGAACCATATAATCTTACAGATTTAATTAAAAAAGAAGAGACCATCAAAAGCTTTCAAAAATTCATCACCTATATTATAAATCACCTAAAGGAATTCAACAAATAGAATGTAATCCAACTTATATCCAAAAAATAGCACACCGTCTTGCAACTGGAGTAATCCAATAGCACCTTTTGCGAGGCATAACAAAAGATCATATTAAAAAAAAAACCAATTGTAACAAAGGTGTGTTGCGAACTTATTGATTACTTTGGGTGTCACGAACTATTAGACGCTGACCTAGCCTACGGCATATTATGGTAAGGACTATAACATCTTACTATTGTGTTAAGTGCGATTTTGCAACAAAAGTATACATAAAATTAGATGTTCGACTGTACATACACGGCTATTAATTGCTGCCGGCTACAGGCGTGTTCCTCTGCGTTTGTTTGTACATTTCGCACCGCAAATCAACCATTACCCGTACCAAGTTTGCGAGTTGATCGGCAATCCTACCGCCAACAGCACCCTGAGCAAAGTTCCTAATTAATTTGAATTGAGAAATGAGCATGGTTGTAAAATTGGCGGGCGCACAAATAATTTTGAAAGTGCTTTTCATCTGGTCCAAGGCAGCCAGTGTCAGGGTTCCGTACAAGTTAGGTAGTTATAAAAATAATTCCGTTCGATGTCACTGCCATTTTTAATCTGATTTCCGTTCCGTAGAAATTCTGGCATTTAAAAACTACTTCACTGAGAAATTTATTTTGTGTAAATGATGGAAAAGAACAGTAAAAAGATGTTTACAGCGAAGACAAAGGGAAGTTAACTTTCAGAAATCCTCATTTTTCGGTATTGACTGCAAGATAACATAAATTAACTGCTACCTAGAAATATTAAAATGTACGGAACTCTCTTCATAGTAACTCCAACTTAGCCGGTTTTTGTACCGTCTCAGTTTGAATTAAGGTTTGTAGAAAGACGTTTAAGCTCAGTAAAACGTGTTATCCGAACCGTGAGCAAATTTGTTTACTGCTTAGTAGATTTTACTTTAATTCTATCCACGACCTCAAAGAGTTTTTTGGTCTTAATGCATTTCAATTAAAGTTTCATCAAAGAGATCAGATAATATGTACTGACTTACTTCCTAAACCTTGACATTATTATCATCATTAAGGACCGTTTAGTTTTTCTTTCTTCTGTTTCGCTTGCTTTCAAATGGCAACTCCTAGCAAACAGAGATATAAAACTGTTTTTGGTTCTTAAAGTTACGACTTAAGAAAATCCTGTAAAATTTTACAGCTCAAGGTGCGAAAGAATCGTTCTACAAGCGAAATAGTCGCTATAATAATATGACGGTTGAAATACGTCGGGAGCCAGACGTCATTTTAGCCCTGTCGCGTGTAACAACTTTACGTTTAGTTATGCTTAGCACATTCATACTGTGTAACGCGACCCCCCTCCCCCCACTCCACCTCGGAAAATTGTTCCGTCCCTCAGCGGAGGTGCGCAAAGCACAGGAACGAGTGTTAAACGAGACTTTCATTACTCTACCGAGAATTTATTTTCTCGAAATCCTTTTAAAATAAAGTAATTAAAAATTCAAGACATTTGCATGCTGGAGGTAACTTAACACGAGCCTCATCAGTTTCATAACATGATACCGGTCTAATGCTTTTTAGATCTCTTTGAAAACTTGTTTGGTAAACAAGTTTTCAAAGCAAATCTTTTAAGCTGAAACCTAAAAAATCTGTCACAGCGTGAATCGTGAATTACATATTATTGAAATACTTTTAAGGGAATTCAAATTATGGTCTTTAAAACGATAATACGGGTAGGGGCCAACTTTATGATTTATCGCACTTAAGTAATCAAAAAGTTTTTACTGTCGCGTTTGTGATAAACGAGACGGTACGAATATTTAATGCACGAAATGTTTTACTACCTTCCTTATTCTTTTCAAAACAGGATCTCAAGTATTTGCATTTCCATTTGCATTTTCCGCATGTAAATCTTAATTTTATGAGAAATATATGCCGGTGTCTCTTGCGCTTTTGATCACGACACAATGCAACAAGGAAAGAGTTGCTTTGAGGCGCATGCGACTCGGAGGCCCTCGGCTCGATGGCCCTTCAGCCCGCCGTGCGCCCTCGCTTCCGCTTTTCACGGAAAAAAGAATTCACGGCACATTCATATTACTTACATTATAAAATTTATAAAACACAGGATGTGCAAGCATAAGAAAGAAGGAAGCAAAATCAAGCCTTAATCTTCAAGAATCCGACGGTCTCAACTTTAATCCTTTGTTCTTTTTTGCAACTGTACTTGAGGTATCAGGTTGGTAGTGCATCTTTGAAACATTTTTCTAGCCAAGATTTTCATCAAAGAGCAAATTAAATTCCGCTGAAAACAAACTGAGGGATAAAAAGGTTAGTTAAATACTTTGCGTCTCATTTTAGTTTCATTTCCTTAGTTATTACTTGCATAGTTTATTCCGAGAATGTAATATTAATGGTTTGAAATTCAAGTTAAACGAAGTACGGATGCGACTTTAATAACAGTACGATTCAAAATTAAGTATTTGTTTAAAAATATGTTTCAAAATAATCAAAAAACACACCACTCCTTTGCGTCGCGCAGACGGGTAAAACATATTTCTTTCTGTTGTATTATTATCTACGTAGTTATAAATCTGTTCAAAAATGTCTGTATGTTGGATTCAACGAGAAAATCAACGATTAAGGGACATTCTATATTCTCATTAATATTGACAAACCTACGACATATTGAAACCAGCAATTTAATAAAGTGTTCTAGTGAAATGTTGCCAGTGGAAGCAAATAAAACTTGTCAAACGGTAGGTATTACATTCTGGTTGGAGTTTGAAAGCTGCCACACGAAGGGTCTTGCTAAATTATATTGCATTTAATATTAATCGCTGTTGGCACCTCCGAGCCACACGGAAATTTACAGGTATAATACTGAGCCCGCTTAGTTAACGAGGAATCGTAGTTCTGAAACAAACTTTTACATTGGGATCGTTAAGCTGCCGCGAGCTAATGTATCCGCCATCATACCTGCACGGAAACTGTTAGTCACGGAACATTTTACTTTTGCAAATCATCCAGTCTTCGTGAAACTTTGCCCGCCGCGGAGCTATCTGTTCCCAAAACTGAAATATGCTTCGCCGCTTAACATGATTGGCTCTTATATCTGTTAAGTAGCTAGAATAAAACCGAAAAGTCACGAAAGATATTATAAAGTAGAATTAGAAGCTAAGTGCGAAATGAATTTGTAACATTCTTTAAAACTGTATATAACTTTGTCATTGTTACGAGGTAATGTATGTGAATAACGTGACTTTTTTCCGACTTTGTAAAATGCTTTTTTGCTACTTAACAAGTGGCAGTAGCAGTACTTTCGAGTTCAGAACAAAATTATGAAGCCAGATATAAATTTGTTTCTTTAAGCTTTGTAATAACAAAAATCGAGTTCTTACAATGAGTGGGCATTAGCATAACAACGACTTCGTTAGTACTTTGAAGGTTTACGAAAGCAATTAATACATCTAGCAAATAAAGAATGTA